CATGCCTCTGAGCGGTTGTACATTTTATGGAAGTTGCAGCTGGTCTTGGGAGGTGCTGTGCAAGAGGCAGAGGGGGGAGGGGGAGAGGGGAGGAAGGGAGGAAGGGAGGGAGAGAACTTGAATGAGGCTCAAGCGGTGTCGCTTGTCTACCCTACACCATACATGTGACGGCATATGTACATCGTACACTGTGGGACCCAGACAATGAGGTAGACCAACTTTGCTCACTAGTCGTGCATATTACCATTGGCTTGCATACACAGGGTCGACGTACATTTACTATTAAATTATACCCGTGCTTGCGAACACTGCAAATTAATGCTTTGTAGTTTCGGGTCGGTATATTCCTTGTCGCACCTGTAAAATCGATCGGAAATTTAATTTTTGGTAGAACCCATGGTACATATACATGTACTGGTGACGTGGGCTTGCACACCTGTAGTTTCACACGAGGGCAAGAAGCACTATATATCAACACCTGGCATTTGAGGTGGCGCGACCGACCTTTGTGTACCTACGTGTAGTGGCGGACGCCAGTCAGCTGCATCGCTGATTGGGTTACGTGAAGAGCGAAATAACGAGCTTCGTGTTGTACACTGCAGATTTGTGACCACAGCTGTGCCATGTCTTGAAACGCTGCAGAACTCTGTTATCAAGTAAGATCACAGCGGTATTTCTGGCCTTCCAAACACACAAACGTCTGACTTATTATCCCATACTTTTCCAGGTAAAATTTTAGATACTGGGGCAGTCAACAATCTGACAGATTAAGGCACCACACATTTTATTATCTCTTCATCAAGACATTTGCGTACACAGCTACTCTGAATGCATAGTTATGCTGCAACAAAAATTACTAGTGAAACACTGTTGTTGTTTTTTTTTCAAATAGGCAAAGTCGTCTCATCTAACCACTGTCTTTCACGTCCAAGTAATAATGTATTGCTTACTTGTTCTGTTGCATCGGTATAGCCGGTTAGTGGCAACGATGTCGAAGTAAGACAAACACTTCCTCTGACCTATGGTGCCGTTAAACACGATGCCATCGTTAAGTGTGAACACTGGCAGCGATGGGTTAATCGCATCGCCTGAGACCGGGGGATAGTGCATTATGCTGTCCAAATCGTACGGCGTACCGAAGTAATCGTAGTTTTCGTCTTTCATGTAGGACCTTTCATAGTCAGAGAGAATATTATCGTGGTACACCGTGATAAACGAATCGCGATCCGCCCGATTGTGCTCGTGATTCAAGCCAATTACGTGCCCCATTTCGTGGGCTATGTTTCCAACACTGTTGTAGCCATTGATGCAGGTTAGGGTGATGGATGCGATGGTGTGACTCCTTCGGTACCCAGTGAGTGCATCGCAACGTTCAGTGTTGTACCTGCAAGTGAAATATACATATAAATATAAACGCTGTGTGTGTTGTGTCTATAAGAAAGGATATATAATGGGTTTACATGTGCATCTGTGCCAGCAAATAAAGGATGGGTATAATACCTATACGTAGCAATGGAGAGCGGTAATTGTAAGAGGTGGATAAAGTGTTCACGAAAGGTGTTACTGATTTTAAATTCATGATGGAAAAATAGGGGCTAAATCGAAAAATGGACCTCAAATATTGTTTTGCAGTAATTGGGTGACACCTACACAGTCGTCACTTGAACTATCTGAGAAGGTGCTAGCACTTGTGGTGGCTCAATTTTCGTGCTGTATTGACTGCTTCAATTGGCTCGCACTTTGCCATCACACACCAAACACATTAACTTTTACTATGGACAGTTAAAGCCATAAATATGAGACGGGCCGCCCACGCGGAAGCAATTAACGTCACTTAAATCACAGGTTACGATGTACCTTAGAACACGCTTGCCTATTAAGAGCTAACGCCACGCAGGGAGCTGTGCTAACACAAGTAAGTCTGTCTTGCGTTCTCGATCGTACCTTCCATATTTCCCATGTGACAAACCAACGAGGAAATGGGTGTGGCAATGCGTACCACACTTGATAGTCATTACACATATGCAGTCGAAATAGCATGCTGTGTGGGCGACCTTGTGTCATTCTAATGCCTCTAACAACGTAAGAAAGAAGGGGAGGCGATGGAACTTACTTCAGTTTTACGATTAGATGGGGTTCCGAGGTTGAGTTAGTTGGAATGAACTGAACGCACGTGGCATTTTCCCACCAGTCCATGGCCTCGCGAACTTTAGCCTTCTCCTCTTCTGGCTCTGTGACTAGTCGCAGGAAGAAGAGAGGGAGAGAGAGACAAAGAGAGCAAGGGAAGGAGGGATAAGGGGGAGAAGGAAAGCAAGAACGTAAACTTAAGGTGAAACTACATTATAACAAAGTCGTCGTCTCTCTGTTTATGTGTGGACGGCGCAAACTAAAACCTACGGCAAACATTATGCCTTGCCTTGTGTGGCGGATGTGCGCGTTAAATAGAGTAACCGTATGAATCCGTGTATGACAGGCCTAAAGTATGGGTGTGACTGTATACTGGCGCGAGAAATACGGGTACTAGCCACGAGCTTCTCTCCTCAGCTCATCAGGGTCTAATGGGCTATACGCATCGCCTCAAGCATCGCACCCATTCTGAAAGAGCAGACAGACTGCATATGTCGGTCAAAGAACAAACTTCCTGGCCTGAGCTATCTAAGCTAGACGTCCATATTACGTATAATCTGCTTCTGCTGTAAATCAGACCTACACGCCACGAATATAACAATCAGTGAGATTGTGCCGCGATACTTTGACACGCAAATTCTAAAAGTCACCCCACTGACTGACCATTTCAACACAAGCTGGTTTGCCCCCATTTCTCTAGCGAGTTGCTGGCACGTCGTATCAAGTGCGACGTTGAACGTCATGGCCTACCCACTTTGCAATCCATGCCGCCCCACACACCCTACCTCCGCCAGTCAAAGAAAGAAAAAAGCAAAAAGAAGGTGCACAAAAAAACAACTTAGGGCTTAATGAACAAAGTATGGTTTGTACACCCGCTGACTAAGGGTTGGTTCCAAACACACCTCCATTTGTGTTTTTGGCAGCAATTTTATGGCAGTGCTATTTGCGACTTCATTTTAAAATCGTAATGAAGCACTCCTACTCGGTAATTTGCTATAGTTACGGGTCCCTTCAGTGACCCCACAGAACAGGCCCAATGGTACGAGGAAACCAGGGAATAAGAAGAAGGGACAGCCGGACGCCAAGGACGGTGACGGAAGGGCTGGCGATCAGAGGATACTAGCGCTCCCCCCCCCCACACCCCCTCCCGGGCCTCACAACTCCCCCCACCCCACTCACCCCACCCCGCCCCATCCCACCCCCCCCTCACCCCCCCCCAACCCCCCCCCCCCGAGAGCATCCCCCACCCCAACAACCACCCCCCCCCCCACCCAACCACCACCTCACCACCCCCCCCCGCCCCCAACAACCCCCCCACCCCCCCTGGGCCGCTACACCACACACCCCCCCAACAAAAAAGATAAACCACCCAAGAGCAAAAGCAATAAGCAACACACACACGCAGCATACACTTACCACCTACAACCCCAAAAAACAACCACGCACACCAAAGGACACGCTCCACCCCACCACAGACGGGAGCCACCTAATTCCAGCGCGAATAAACAACAACAAAAACAATACCCAATAACAAACCGAACCCCGACCCCCCACAACGAACCCCCGCAACAAACCGGAAGCGCCAATACAGCAAAAAAAAGGCACACAAAAAAAACACCCCAAGACACATTCCAACACAACCATCCACAACAAGAACAAAATCAAACACCCACAACATAAGAGAAAACAGAAGAGTAAAAAAAAAAAAAACCAACAGATAAAAACAAAAAATGATCAGCAAAAGAAGGAACAAAAAACAAAACCCCCCCCCCCCCCCCCCCCCCCCCCCCCCCCCCCCCCCTATCTATCCATTTGCCCCCTGAATATGCTTTCCAGGGGACATTTTGACTGGCTTGCTGTTATTGGGACAATCTATATTATTTTGTTGCCAGGGGCTGATTGTACCCCAGCATAAATCGGTAATCTCTGGAGTTGCAGACTCCTACTATAAGAGTCCAGTTCACTAAAGTCTGAGGTCTGAGCTACACAGATCCCAACCTCTCTTCTCCATCACCAACTGCCAGAACTCTCAGAAATAACACTGACCAGGCAGCATCCAGAACAATGGAACTTTGAAGGTCTCCCACTAACTATATTATGGTGCAGTAGGTCATTATGATTCCTACAATCAACCACTTGCCCCCTCAATTATCTAAAGCCACCAGCTATAATAATTCAGGCAGCAGCAAACTGCCAAGGAGAATCTGCGGGTTTCCACGTAGGTTTTCCATGGGGCATGCAACATCTAGGATAAGTCCCCAAATTACAACAGTAAATTTTGGGGCTGATAAGATATACAGTGGAACCTCCTAACAGGGGACACTATGGGGGCAAAGATTTTGTCCCTTCTAGAGAGGTCGTCCCTCTTCTCTGGAGGTATATAAGAATACACTAAGTATTGAAACAAGTGTCCTTTGTAGAGAGGGTCCCTTTTCAGAGGTCCACAGTGACATGTATCTTTGTGTGAGTGTGAGAGAGAGAAGGAGGTGGATGTAGATAAACTCACAGTTGCTGTCAATGGTGATGATATAAGGAATGATGCCGTTCGGCCAGAGGAATGTAGTGTGGCTGTAGTTAGAGCAATTTCCAGACTCTCCTTCCGTACCTACAACCAGCAGGAAAAAAATTATTTTTAATAAAGAAGCAGGCCCGTGCCTGCATACGCTAATGCTTATATCAATAAAAAGATCATCAACTTACACCCGCGTTCGCTATATACCGATGCCCTAGCCCCGTTCAGGTCTCTTCTGTAACTTGCTCTGCCACCTGCAACAGGTGTACTAGCTATTAGTGATACGAGCCGTAGCGGAGCGAGGGGCAGGGCTGGATGCATTACCAAACTTCTCCGATTCCAACTTCGCCATTACTACCGATTCGCGCGACTATGCCACACATCACACAACGGGCGCAAGCGCTGCCGGAAAATATCGGATTGCATGCTACAAACCGCCGCTGCTGCGTGTGGGCAGCTAGAGCATCTTTACCTTCGTACTGATGCGGCAGACGAGACCGAGCTGCGTAAAACAGCAGAAGAAACGCAAGTATTCCTAGCAGCATTTTCTCCGGAGGTCCGGCCCTTGGACTTTTTCTTCGCAGCATCTCGTCCGATTTTCGCTCCTTGTACTTTCAACACTGCATCTGCAGGCAACCATTTAGCTGCAGCATGCACGCTGTTGCCTGTCGTTCGGTAATGCGCATGCGCACCAATGCTTGCGCGGGCGGCGACGCGCGCAAATCTTGATGCTGTCAAAAACGACATAGTAGACCACATCCTTGCACAAAGAAAGACAAGGCTGCAACAAACCGGACTGACTCGACCATAATTAACCCTCGGTGCGCATGCGCAGCGATGGTTACAGTCTGTCCGCCGTCCGCCTGTTACCACCACGCGCAACAAACAGGCCCCAACGGGTTCAGCGCTACACTGGCTTCATTTTAATGGTGCGCCAACATTTCTGGATTTACAGTTAGAGTATGCACTTGCCTTGCGTTGGAATCTACTTCAAAGCATGGTGTTTCGAGTAAGCTATCATTCTAGTCATGTGTGAATTCTGGATCACCCCAACAGCTGCGGGGACAGCAAGCTTTTGCCTAAACAAATTGCAACATCTAATTTACAACTGACATTGAGCATGCTAAAACGTGCTTTTCCTCGATATACATACATGCAGCTCGTACTATTGTTTCCCACACCCCCATTTTTGTATATACCAGCCTTTCATGTGGTGTGTGTGTGTGGAATTGAGCTATAGTCATGCATGACATAGGGTAAGAGGAAGACTGGCACACGTGTAAGCTAAACATAGAGCTACCTGTATCTGGGCACAGGCATGATGTGCCCAGTTAGGCCCAGATGTAGGGGGGAAGAAGCTGCCTTATTCGTGTGTGTGTCGAATCCGCGACAGTGTATGAATTAACTAGACCCAGGACAGTTGGAGTTAGAAGCCATCACAGCTGGCTATGGTGACTGGACAGTGGATCTGAGCAGAGCCCCTTGGCTGTCTCCCAGCCAGAGCAGTGAAATTCCCACGTTTCAACGAGCTCTGTCTTATTTCATGACCTGCAAACAAACGTATCGAGATCATATCAGAGACCTTTTATTGCAAACCTTTTCTGATCTCACTCCAGTCATTATAATAGTTGTTTGCAGGAAATAGAGAAAGAAGAGTTCAAACGCGTACTTTGTCCTCCATTTTGTGGAGGCAGTTACATTACATAGCAGAGCATGCAAATAACCCCTGACCTACGGTCCAAGCCAAATCCATATTCATATCCAATGATGCTGCTCATGCATATTCATATCCGATGATGCTGTATCATGCATATTCATTGTGCGCCATGAATATTCATGAGGACTTATTTTGGTTACAGTGACATCATCCGCTGGAAGCCTGAAAAATAATATTTTTAGATCACGACTCCAGTTACGTGCTCCACGCTTGTCATTTTGACCTTTGAACCGGAATGGAACCAAAGCGGTAGAGTAGATATGGAATGGAGACGTGGACAGTGGGAGGGGCCTATGTCTGTGTGTGTGTGGTGGAGTTTTCCGAGCCCATGTCCGGCAGCGTGGAATACCACGCATTCCACGTGATCAGCTCCTGTCTCACTCCCACGTTGCAGTCTGAGTATTGACCGATCCACGGCCAACTCCCCCATCCATTTCTCAATCACTATAATGTGTTGTCCATTTCTCAATCGCTATAATGTGTTGTCCATTTCTCAATCGCTATAATTATAATACAAATGTGTTGAATACACTACTATAAAGACTCAACACCCACATGTTCTACTACAGCTACACCCCCCACCCACCCACACACACACACAATCCTCTTTCACTCCATCTCTACTTTGCCTTTCTTTCTCTTTTACCCTCCCTCCTCCTCTCTCTTCCCCTTCTCTCTCCTCGCCCCTCCCCTATCTTCTCCCTTTCTGTCTCTCTTCTATTCCCTCCTCTTACGGAATGCCTCTAAACAATTCCGATGCATCTCCACGGCTGCGTCTAGGCAACCAGAAGATACCTACAACTCAACGATTCATTACTGGTAAAAACACACCGCTAATGAAAACAAGTGTCATTCTCAGAAACTGTGTGACAAGCAAAACTAGGTGAACGTATGGATGCTTAAGCAGCTTTACCTATGTACGTATAAGGCTACAGTGGAGACGAGCAAGGGACGGCCAGTTGAGATGGTCCCTCCCTTTTGCCACGGTCGTAATACATGTTATACTGCAATTTGCTCAATCGTCCCTATGCTGGCTATCTTACAAATATGCACAGGTCATTCCAACATACTTGTATTAGTACATCGTACACTGCGAGTATTCTTCCTATGGAGAGAAGTGTTGTAGAATCGTTTGGTCTGCACTTACACTTTGCTTATGATTCACACGGCTATAATTATACAAACACAGGCGTGAGTGGGAGTTGCGAAAGACATCTCTCTATCTCTCTCCCTCTCCAAAAGAGCCTTCTGAACCCGCTGTAAATCTCCATCCCGCCCATTTCTCCAGCACAGCACAAGCAAAGCAGAGTGCACAGTGTGTGTGTTTACCGAGGGAAGTTGGTTGTGGGAAACATGTACAACGCAAATTGCATGAGTGCGTGTCACGCACACAGATTTGGCAGTCTCGGCGATGCTAATAGGTCTCGGAGGATGCGAACGCAAACAAACAACCGTCTTGTGGTGACATAGCAGGTCAATAAGTACAAGACCAAGGCCGTATAACTCTGCCGCACAATTGTCATCGGCACTTCAGAAGGCCACACAACCAACACATACATTTCGTGAAAGCCCAGTTTTGGTGATTTTATCATGTACACAGTATAATTATACTGCAACGTCGTCTTGAATACACACATAAGCTGGTCACGTTCATAAGACAGTTTAGCAACAACGCACACTCTTACTTTTCACGGAGAGAAAAACATTGAAAAATGAACAGACAAACAGTGATATATATGATATATACGATAATATGTCAGATGATCATAAAGTTAATCTCTGTAATATATATATATAAAGTTATCATGTATATACAATGAGGTTATGATAAACAAAAAAATACAAATACGTAAAAGAAGTGATACAAAATTTCGTGACCAGCAATTTTACACTCAGAGTATTGCATTATAAATAGATACGTACAGTCAACAGACTTACATATAGTGGAACTCCTCTAATTAGAACACAAATGTGGTCTAATTAAAGGAACACAACTCAATTCACATTCACTTTATATTTCAGAGGGTTTTGGAGGAATATTTGGTCCATTTTTTTTGCGATGATGAGAGTTTTGGAATTCGAAATTAAAAAGACCCCTAAAAATTTGATATCTCTCTGCTATAATTTTTGAACGTAAAACGTCGTCGGCGAATGACAGGTGACATCGTCTCGATTACTGGACTCGCTCTCCACTTCTCCCTCTGAACACAACGGCAGCAGATCGCACCACTTCGTCGTGCAAAAGAGATACGTCTCGTTTGACGGATGCTTCAACTGAAACTCTTTGCCGTCTCTGACAACGTTACGCGAGGAAATGACGAGGAACTGATGGTCTTCGCACTCGGAGATGTTGCTAACGTTCTGGCCCCCCACGTTGGCAGGGCATTGCGAAATTGAGCAGATGTTTTGCCCGTTGCATTCCAGCCATCGCGACTGCTTGTGGAGCGACTGGAGATTAACGACATCGCCGTTCTTTATCTTTACGTTATTTCGTGGCGTGTGGTGGTGGACGGTGAAATCGAAGCCCTGTTCACAGAAATGCTCTCCGGTTAGCTGGCTGAATGTGCATTCGTCTTTTTTGCATCGTCGCTCCGTGCAGAACAGATACTCCAGTCGCGAGGTATTTGTCTTCAACCGAAGAGCATCGTCTGGAGGAATCGGATATAATTGCAAATTACATGTGGAAATAGGCGATTTAGACGGCCCGAGGGGCCCTGAGCTGTAGCTGTCTGAGCACAGTGAAGACGCTACTAAGGGCTCCGAGGCCGTCTAAATCGTGCATTTCCATTGACAAGCAGTTTAGACGATGGCCGTGCTGGCCGTAAAAAAAGTTTCTCTGCGCCGAAGCTTGCCACACCCCATCGAAGACACCATTTTTTTGGGCGGGCGTCTCCGTGGAAACATGCACTTTGAAAAATCAGTGACCTATTAATTAAGGGGGAACTTACTGCTCATGAGTCTCTGTGAAGGAGGGGGAGGAGGAGGGGGAGGGGGAGGGGATGTAGGAGAGGGAGTAGGCAGTGGTTCTTGACTGCACTTGTCCTGTGCATTGGTTTCGTCTACATAAAGAAGTAGAGAGAAAAATATCATTACATCCCTGAGTATCCAATTCACTACTCCACGCATGTGGAATTAGTTTCAGATATATAAATGCAGAAAAGAGAGTGAAATACAGACTATCTGACAGACAAACAAAAGCAGCTACAACTCGGTAGTATTGACTGTGGTACTGCGTATAATATAAAAGATGCTGCACAGACGACGTTGTCTACAGATCCGTTTGCTTACGTTGTGGTAAGCATGTGGGTCTGTATCCCACGCAGAGGTCTGTAGTTCGATGGTTGGCTAACTTCTCTAATACGTACATGGCCTTTATAAACTCGTGGTGCCAGAGAGAGAAGTTGTGGTATGCTCTGCTGATGAGGGCCAACAAGCCCGAAACAGCTGTCCAGAGCTCCACATCTTTTTTCTCTGGTTTTTCTCGTACATGGAGGATTCAAAACGCGGCTACGAAAGGCACGTGCATCAAAAAGTGAACGCTATTCTCAACCGGTAGTATTATTCCACAGATGTAGATGGAATTCTTGTGTCAACATCCTGAGGGCATGCCATGCTTAGCGGCGAAACAAATTCACATCAAAATTCCGCAGGTACATAAAAATAAATACAAAACAAAACGAACTTGTTTTTAACAACCAACGATATTCATTTCCGAAATACTTATTCATTCCTCAATCATTGAGTAAACATCACCGTCCTATTGCATAAAAAAATTTGCTGGTCACAGAAATTTTTTTTCTGTGATTAGCAAAAAAGAACAGACAATTGCGGACATTTTTATGCTCAAGTAGTGAGAGTTTCACATGACAAATGTGATTCAAACAGCTCACATTTACTGAAATACTTTGTAAATACTGTTATTATGTTGGACTGGCTATAATAAAAAAATGTGCGAGCTATGGTGAAAGATCACAAAAACTTACTTTCGCACTGGTATATGCGACTGATTTTGATTTTGTCCCGCCGCGAGAGAGTCCGTCTCTGGCCCATGGTGGCGATGGCACAGTCTGGAATGCGAACGATCACCTCGATGGTACTGTTGTCGTTCTTTGAGAAGCTCCGCGCTCCGTAGTGCATGATGCTGAGCAGGTCGTAGCCAGGGTCCTCGAAATCGGCCACTTTTCCTGAGCAATAGTACCGAAATTGTAGTAGGCATTGTCGCGTACATTCTCCCTGACGATTCTGATGTAGTTATCTCTGTCCCACCGCGAGTGCTCGTGCCAGAGACCTATGGCATGGCCGAGCTCGTGCATGGCGTGTCCCTTGCCCTGGGATCCTTTGCTCACGCAGCCGGAATTGATCGAAACTTCCTGAGCTCCTCCTATCATCCCGACGTACGACGAACAACTGAAAAAATGAACAGAGAATCAGATTCCAGCTACCAAAACACAACCTTACAACGAAACTTAAAACCCTTTGGACGCCATGGGTATCTCCTTACATAAGCAGAAAAACATATTAACGCCTAGTATTATAGCCATATATAAATTCTTATTGACTTATGGAAGCTCTGGGCATTATTGTATATGCCCGTGGCTGGTTAAGGGTTAATTCTAGAACACCTGCAATGTCAACTGCATAGGACCGTAAATCGTAGAAGTTCAAATTGAGTTTGTTACATAGTTTGTGCAAGTCGCAATCTGATTAGGTGTTAAAAGGAGGGAGCAGGAATTGAGTTTGCTACGTAGTTTGTGCAGGAGGGAGCAGCGCCAGGCTTACCCATGTTTATCGGTGAACAAAATGTAGTTCTGGTCTGCAGAGATATTGTAGTCTCCGATCTGTTCGAACTCGAGACAGGTACTGCGAGTCCATTCGTTCATTGCCTCTGAGAAATAGTGCCTATACTCCATGGCTGCCAAAAAAAAAAAAGATTATAACGTTTGTCCAGTAAGCACAAGCAAATAATAACACTTAGGTTGCAGCAATAGCCATCGACCACGCAGACCCAGAGCAATGGATGGAACCATTAGGACATGAACATGCAAAAACAGATATAGCGTCACAAGCCAATAATATCTTTCTGCAAGATCACTGAGGGCCAGTGGCTTACAGGTGTCTTGATCAAATCTGAAAGGAACTATTCCGCTCGGCCAGAGCCTCGATGTAATGGAGCTCAAATCAACGTCTGCCATTCCACTCCCTTCTCTATCAAACGCCATTCTCTTGAACACAGTTCTGTACAGGTTGTATGGGTCGTCAAACGGCATCAGCCGTATGTCGCCTTGGAAATAATCATCCTGATCTTCCCCGGTTGAATCTATCCGTGAGAGGGAGGAGGAGGAGGAGGAGGGGAGGGGAGGATGGGAAAGAACAGTGGAGTAATGGAGTGTTTGGTAAGAATTTGGCAAACACCCGTGTCCCTCACAGAATCAAAGGCACTGGACAAAAACTCTGGGGCCCCTCAAGGGGAGTCCAAATTGAGCAAAGGTTGAAACCTTTCCGCAGCCAGCTCAAGAATGCGGATAATTACTGCAGAGTTTGGACAGGTGACTTGCCAGCTCGAGCTGGCTTACCACACCTCATTAGCTGGCTGGGCTGCAATCGCAGCGCGCCCCGTTAGGTCCGCGGATTGCGCGCGCTCCATGCATAGACACTCTCCCTTCCACTACCTTCCCTCACCTCTCCCCTCGTCTCCCGCTCTCTCCACCTCAGGCTCGGGTCTTGTAGAGTTTGCAGGTTCTCCATCGCCTGCTCCTTCGCTGCTGCCGGCCGACGGCGACCGCGGAGGCCTGGGAGGCGAGGTGACGGGCATGCAAGGCACCACCCGAGCACAAACAAGCACCAATAGCGAGGCGATGTGAAACTTTCGCATTGTCCAGTTGCTGACGATCATCATGGACTCCTTCTTCACGGGGCTCGGGTTATAAACACAGCGATAATTAGTCTAGCGGATGCTGTGGTCAGTGCGACCAATTGAAAAAAAGATCAGTAGCCGGCCAGCCCCCCAAAACAATGCGGCAAAAGCCACGTACGCGTCAGGAAGTAGCGACTGCAGCGGCGACTTTGTGACTGCAACTGGACTGTCAGTATTGCTTTGAGCTCCAAGCCGCCTTTGTGTCTTGCTTTCAACGCTATCGACGAAACACGTTTCTCCCGGTGTGAACGCCACACACGCGTACAGTGCCGGATCAGTCTCCCTAGGCGCGAGTCTTGCCGCCTGAGTGAAGTTTGGCTGGCGAAAAACTAGTGAATATCGCATTCTCGCGCGCGTTTGCCATTATAAAGTGCTGCGTGTGCGAAAATCCCCCACGCTTTGTAATGGACACGCACTGCTTGTCAACATGCAACAGAAAGATCCTGCAAAATGACATCACTGAAGGTTGCAAAACACACACACAAAGTTTAACAGTCCGCATCCTCCTCTCTTCCTGCAGAAGCAGCGAAAAGCGGCGCTCACGGCACGAGAGCTGCATGCGAAGTCGCGGGCATAACGTCCGAAATACGCAACGCATCGAGCTGCGAAACGTATTCACGGTTCCCTGGACTTTGCGCCAGGTGACGAACACCTGTGAGGTATCCGATTACACGATTTTGAGATACGCCCCCTTCTCTAGCACTACTATGTATACACTAAAATCCGCGTCTCCAAAATGCATAAGGAAAAAAAACTGAAGGGAGATTCCTGCAGGGACAACTGAGCTACAATCGCAATGCAAGAAGCTGGGGTATAAATTGCCAGCTTTTTGTACTGAGGTGTCTTTTATCCGGAGGTTTGCACGTTTTTTTAGAGAGGTGTCCTTTATAGAGTGTCAATTACATTTCACTGTATATAACTACCAGCATTTCAGGCATTTATTAACAATTTATTCTAGCGGATAATTAGCTAATCCTTGCAATTAAGGTCATGCACCCTGAATACTGCCGCACCACTCCAACTCACACTATTATACTTTTGTTATTTGTGTTATCGGTGAAATATGGCAGGTGGATATTCACAATCTGTCGGGGTGTGTGTATGTGTGTGCACCGGCAGGAAAAGTGCTATTGCATCAGTCTCGAGCAAAGCGGTCAAAGATAGCAACGGCATGCACCGCTGCATTTGATCACACAATTTCCACTATTCCCACTATACTCTAGTCCAGCACAGGCTGACTCGAGCTTGCAACACCCCCAAATTCAGTCACTACGTCTGCCAGCCACTTTCCAGGCATTTCTCTGTATTGAATGGTTCTCTCTACACAAGTGATTGTTCATGCAGTTCCCAGACAACACCCGCGTGTCCTGCGTGCGTGGCAACCGACATGTATGAAGCCAGCCTATACAATCCTACATGTTCAAGCAGGGTTCATACATGTCATTTGCCTAGGGACATCCATCTGTTGCAGTACCCAGACAGGACAGCATGAGCCCTTACACCCTCACAATGGGATAGTCACCACACTGTCCTAAACTACTTCACTTCTTGCTACCATTCAATGGCAGAAGGACCTCACAAAGTGTAACACACCATACACGTGTCCCGGACACTACACCTATACGTTTCTCTGACGCTCCCATCGTACATCTGAGTGCATCAATTCCTCAGAGTGCTAATTAGCACCTTTTGTTTGCCAAGTCATAGCTTGTTTCAGACCGACCTCATCACTGGGATACATACACAGTCCGTCTTGGCTGCCTCCATTCAATAACAAATCAATGCAGTAATGCCCGTCACACGGTGTTGGCATACATTAGCATACGAGCTGGCCCACCATTTTCACCACTTCTCAAAAAAACACATTTTTGTCTGATGGTTTCGAGAAAAGCCAAAGAGACTTCAGAGAAATCTCCTTAAAGACAAAGAGCCGACATATAATCGCAGAATCCCGCAACCTGCCAGATAATCACGCATAACCGCTACTTATAAGGTCATCTGGCGTGCTTGACATTGAAACAAGGTGTTTTTCTCAGCGCAGCCACTTAGCATTGCAGTGAATATGCACACGGCTTTAGTGAGTATCAATGATCTGAGCAGGATGTAACACTGGGAGCTATGCACCAGACCGGCCACAATCTTGGACTTTGGATGGTGTTTACAGCAAAGGAAGTTGCGCATTCATAGGTGCACAGAAAACGACACTAGGACCGAGTGAGTGTGTCTTATTGTATTTGAGCCAGGAACTGTGGTTGCCCGAATACTTCCTGATTTCTTTGGTTAACTCCAACGCAGCATTACCACAATACAGTAATACCGGCTCTGTGTGTCTGAGGAGCGGTGAGGATGACAGCTGTGCACAGAGGAAATACCAACATTCAACAAGGTTGCATTAGACATTACCCGGCACTGAGACATTTGAGGGGAAGGGCGTGACAACTAGAAAGAAATGCCGCCGTACCACGTGTTTGTTGAAGCGTGTGGGAGTGCAGTCGAGGCTCCAGATTCCACGCGTGGGACTGACCGGTGGAAATACGCACATCCATCTCTACACGCTGCATTTTTTGATTTGAGGCGGCGCAAAACACCAGAAATAAGGAGTCGGAGAGACACAACAACCCACCAACGCCCAAACGACGACGACGTGTGGAGAGTGGCACACACACACACCTGTAACCCCAACTACAGATCGCGAACGTAGGCAGAGTCAGAAACATGGCACCGAGAGTCTCGCGTCATATGGCCCAGTCAGCCGCCCTATCCTACTTTGCACTGGCACCTCCCGTACACAAGTAACGTACACATACCCACAGTTTGTAGGTTAGAGGCACGGGCCGACCAAGTAGGCAACGTGAGCAGAGCACGTGCTATCCGAGTGAGTGGTGGTGGCACACAAGTCCGCTGTAACTGTCTGAAAGCAATGTCACGTTACTTAACGTCAAGTCAATTTCACACCTGCGCAACAAACACAAGGCATCTTCCTGAATCAGGCTTATCTTCTTGCTTTCTATAATAGTCTGTGAGTCTTGTTTTTTCCTCTCTTCTTTCTCTCCTCTTCCGCCAATCTGCCACTGACTTATCCGTTCTCAAATACCCCTATATTCTTGAACGCTATTACGATCGTGCACTTCCCAATTATTAAATTAAATACGAGTATATAATGACAAAAACTTAATTTAGAGGTAATTAGGCTGCATGTCCCAGAATTACGCTCACTATTGGCATTGTAATTGCACATTCAGTCAATCTGGTGTTGTGTTGCAGCCCCCAGCTGCCGGCTTAGCTGCTAAAAAGCGTCCACCTCCCACACGGCGTTTCGTGTGTCCATCTCCTAATAATGCTAATGGCCTACCCAGACTATTGTTTGTTCGTTCAACGCACAGCGGAAGACACACCATAGAACGAACATCCTGCCCAGCATTGCTCCAAACAATAATAACATCTACGCATCTTAAAAATACAGTGACTGCAGCCCAAGGCAATATGAATGTTTTGATTTGGTTCATAGTAAATGCAGGCATTTGGTGTACATAGCGATGCATCGAACCATCACGCAAACACCACCAAACCTTTGACACTGTTATTAGTTATGACAAGAGGGGCACGGACCTTAATTAGTCAAGAATTTCAAGAAGTTCTTTGCCGACTTGGTGCCGCGCACTGCACCAAGTACAGCTACACTGGTCAGCCGGTTACCAAAACTGGTTTGAAACTAGTTCATTTCTGGTAAAACACGACAACGCTAACTGTAAGAATGCACTGCAATTGACGCTCTGCACTAGGCTCAGTATAGTGCATTCTAATTGCCCGTTCAGTACAGCTTATCACTCATAACCCATTAATTTGCCAATTATAGCGGCAAGTGTCACCCATTACAGCTCATTACGTAACAAACGCGTGCTATGCTTATAAGCTAGAGTGTAACCACGTAGATGGCTTTTACATTTCTGGAAATTTGCTTCTGATCTTAATCTTACACAAAAACACATTTGGTACGTAAATTACCACTCCATCTCGCCTGAGCTATAATTTAATTGAGATCATAAATACCGAGATCCCTTATCTCATGCTAGAAAACAATTGCTACAAATGTATGAAATGTATATGTTTGTATGCATGCGAGTCTCAACAATATTTAACCCATACAATTTTCCCGTAATGGCAGTATTGACTTTGAAGCGTTGGGCACTTTGTCAATGTTACACGCCTGACTAGACAACGTGGTGTGTGAGATGGTGAGCGATTTCCAAACGAGTTTGCCGGCAATTATTTCCCTGTGTATGCGACACCGTTGATAGACAGATAGGGTGAAACTATGTAACCGTAGCCTAATGGTATAAAGCTATTGGTAACACTATATATGTAGCGGAAAATCAGAAATTGTCTAACACAATCCACAGTGGCATCAAAGAACGTTAATTCTAACCCTGAATTAAGTGCTGTATTATACCACCGTTTTTAAATTCCTGAGCAGGTCACAGACCCACCCAAAGAAAGAGGAATGCAGCTGGCATTCTCACCCGACAAGCTGTATGTAACCCGAGATAGTCGTGTAGGAAGTCTTCAACAGGAGTGGAAATGTGAGTCAATGGGCAAATATACACACACACATTCTCACACCAATAAAACAGCTCGACTAGTGAGAATGTGTGCAGGAGAGAAGAGAGAGAGAGGAGAGAGAGAGAGAGAGAGAGGAGAGGAGAGAGAGAGAAGAGAGAGAGAGAGAGAGAATAGAAAGCCAAGCTTGTATAATTATGTATATAGAAACAACGGAAACAGGTCTAGCTAGATTCTTACTGCACAATGAATTGTGTACGTAAGTGAGCCAAGCTAGGATTATTACTTCACACAACATTGTGGCTGTCAGTGTGAGATTGAAGTACACAAACTTTGCAGACACTATCAAAACAGAGAAGGTTGCTTACTGCCAGACAAACAAACAGATTACATAATCAATGTGTACCATCCAGACACCGTTGCTAGGCGATACACGAGGCACGAGTGGAGAATCCGTGACGGGACTGGCAGAGCCCTGGACGGTGACTCGACCTCTGTTTGACAACTAGGCTAGTCCAATCAGTACACTGTATATACCAGTGTACTGGTGTATGTAGCTAATCTTGGGTGATCCACCCCGACACACTGGTCCCTTCATTACGTCTCTAAGTTGTGTGGCTTTCTCGAGATATTTCGTCCAGACTGCAGTTTCACTGCAATGTTTTGTGATTTCGCAAGGTGTCAAAATATGTCCCCGAGGCCCTCATCTTCCCAGGGAACTTTGGATGAGTGCGTGTATACGTATATACACTTCCAGTTGACTGTGACTCTGCATAGGCCCATTGTCTTGAACGATTGCACCCAGACGGCCTTTGGGTTGCAATATTCTGCAATTACGCAAGGCATCGACCAGTTCAGTAAATCCTCGCACTATGACTGCGTTACGAACAATGCAATACTCGCCGCTGTATTTCTTCACTTGCAGAATGACACAATGCTAGAGGCTTTGGGAAGGGGGTGCAGCGGGGAAGGGCATGCCGAATGATTACTTAAGATGAAGGAGTTTAAACAGGCCCTCAATTTAGTTCCAATTACGGGAATTAGCCAGCACATAATTACCCCTTGCCTTTCATTTTTGTGGACGGATCGTATTTCATCACAGAATGGTATGAAAACACAGCTAGAATAGAGAGTAAATTCAGAGCTTCAGGAACACATAACAAAACATACATAACTCCAATAGTTACGTAGTCGGGGGAGAGGGATATTTACACATTGCATGTTGTATGAAACTTGACATCATAAACAGAAATCGTAATGTGAACTGAAACATAGTCTTAGCCTGTCCCCTTATCTGCTCCTACGATTATATCGCATTCAAACAGTTTACACACATCTCATCTTCTCAGTTGTGCAAACAAGCACTTGAATTTTAGTCATTAACCGCACGCAAACACAAGGATATGTCCTACGTACCTACATGCTGTAATTACTCTTCCCTTCATGGGAACAAAGATAAAAAAACAGGGGAAATTTGAACGCTTCAAATAACGTGATATATACGAACATACACATATTTATACACACAGGTATAGGGCACAGACACAAACAACGTCATCTGCAGAATGGCGTAACAACACCGGGATGAACGACAGACAAAAGACTGGTAGGTTACGGTCCATACTGTATCACTGAGGTGGATATGGAGACTGGTATGAGCTGGGCGGCCCCTGTTGATTCAGCTGGGCCGGGTCTGGAACCTGCGGTATCACTGCAGTGGAACGGAACAGAGACACCATATTACTTACCAACCACCACCAAGCTTTTGTTGTTAAATTCTATAATAATACTGCATCTTGCTGGCAACTAGGCCCACAGTGCTGTCTGTGTGTGAGACATGTTTTGAATAGCAGCTGCATTCCTTTAACCACATCATAGAGGAAGGTCCAGACAATTAAAATTCTTCACTGCATTCCAAAATCACATGAGGTAAACAGACTCACTCCTGCACCATACCTCCATCTACCTTCCCCCTTCCCTCTCTCTCTCTCTCTCCTCTCTCCCTCTCTCCCTCTCTCTCCCTTTCCCTATCTTTGGGTAGATTTCAGAGCATGTTCTGAGTCCTACACCACTGCAATAATATCCCTGGCACGTTATGAGTCCCATTATATCTCCGGCTCACCTTTCCTGTTAAAGCTAGAAAAGCTCAGTACCTTCACATGTTGGGATATATTGTACAGTCTCAATAGGGGAGAGCCCATAAAGTGTCTGGCATAACTGCAAAACAGGGCGAGTAACCGGCGCCTATAGAAGACATGGTATTGTGAAGACGATGGAAGAGTTAATGAATCGAAATTGAGGCCCGCCCGCTATTCAAAGCCATCGGAGATGTTTGAACATGTTTGTGACCGCACCGAGGCTCAGATAACAGGTGCATATGGAAACTGAGATGTTGCTAATGGCATGAGACACACTTTGCCATCCCTCGCACATTCAAAAGACCCGCTATTCAAAGCCATCGGAGATGTTTGAACATGTTCGTGACCGCACCGAGGCTCCGATAACAGGTGCACATGCAAACTGAGATGTGCAAACCGAGATGTTGCTAATGGCATGAGACATACTTTGCCATCCCTCGCACATTCAAAAGACCCGCTAATGTAGCGGTTTATCACTCATACCATCGCTTCGCGGCACAGCTGCAACAATGATGAGAATTTACCGACTTGTGTGGAGCTGTTGTGTCCGATTGCGTAATCTACAAGAAACGTCAGGTGTCCCTCATGCGGTCAGATTCAACACGCCTTGTTTTGCTTGCGCGCAATTGCACGCAATTAAACAAAACACGGCAAGCCCTTCCGCAACAAAGAGCCGAAGAATTCGCCAATCAGATAAGCCATGCGAGGAACGAGAGGAACTTGAAACGGGCAGACCGAGGGCGGGTCGACCAAAAACACCTGAGGAACACCGCAAGATGAGAGGGGCTGCGGAGAGTGATATTGTAAGATTCGAGGAAGCCAGACACCCACAGGCATTTTGGTGGTGCGGGATATTTTGATAAGGCAGTATGCCTCCTTGCAACAACAGAGACCGGAGGCTTGGGGGCACAGGCATGCAACCACCACCCCCCCCCTCCCCCCCCCCCTTCTCCTCTCCCTTCTCTGCCCACATCCTTCTGTCAGTTCACCATAGCGAATTTTAATGTTGTGCAGAGATGCTCTTAAAAGGAGAAGTTAGATGTCATGGGGTTGAAACAGCCTTCGATTCAACTTTTCTTCTTCAATCTTCCACTACTCTCTAACATTACCCGACAGACACAAAAACATTTCCAAAAGAGAAAAAAAAGTACTACAATTTTAATGGCAAGGAAAAAATGGGTATCATGCTCAATATTTGGCACACCAGATAGCTCCAAAATCTTGAAATTTTTCGGCCTCGAAACTTTTCCACTAGCTTTGCCCTCCAAGCAATGGGTCCAAAGGCGTTTTTCCCAATGACAATACTGTAATGAGCTGGGAAATTGATGGGCGTTTAGCCAAAATAGCGGGTTGTAAGAATGTACCTTATTAATATCAAAATTCCCAAATTAAGAGAGATTGTCAACAATTCCCAGGAGTCACCTGACCATACACACCCCGGGGCCAATTTGTGTGTGGCAGTTAATGATCAGAGGAGAATAATAATATCCTTGTTGTGACACCATCTTATATCTAGAGTGGCCGAGCTGGCAAAATACCCGAAGCCACACAACGACGACGACATCATCCTTTTGATCTATGACATCACTGGGAACGTAATGCAGTGCCAACTGCAGATCAAAGGGGTTCCACTGAATTCGATCCAGTGGCCCATTTGACTACAAAGTCCCCCGTGATATTCAGTAAGGCAGTCAAGCAATACATACGTACAATAAGACGCTGAGAATTGACTGTCAAAGGGGATATATCAATCTGGGATTAATGGACAAGTGCCAGATGTCCAAATCTATTGGATATTGGCTGCTGGTTGGTGTGACAGGAAACAGTGTGTCCCATAGTAAAGAGATGACAGATCAGAAATCTAGCCAACTCCTACACTCTAGAGACCTCTTGTCCACAAGTAAACAACTTCTTCATCTCCCTCTTCCCCCTCTCCCTTCTTCCTCGAATAAACAAAACAGTCCTCCTCCGTCCTCTCTCCCTCTTCTCTCCTCATCGCTATCCCTTTTACTCCATCCTCTCCCACCACTTCCCCCTTGTCCTTATCTCAACTACACACACCAGAACCTGCTGCTGCTGCCAGAGATATCAAAACCTTAAGGAATTCAGAGCATTTCAAAGATGACTTTGAACCAATCTCACTATAACCCACGTCTTCCGTATACCGTATTTCAACTGGTCACATAATAACATGAAGGTATTAGACCATGTGATGCCAAGAGAAAAAAGATGCGGAGCTCTGGACCTGCATATAAACACTCGAATCTCGTATTGTGCGTTTTGGTATGGGTGTCTGTGAACACGTGAGTCTCAGAACAGGACCACGACGAAGGTTTAAACACTTTTAAGTTCTTTTTTAAAAATGCAAAAACTGTTAAAACCTCAGGGGGAAGGTTGGTGTAAATGGCCGAGTCAAAGTTAACGTTTTACTATTCCATACTTCATATATAGTCAAACTACTGTATATAGTTGGCTTGTTTTTTCTTGCACTGACGTTCTTTTAAAAAATGCAAAACTGTTGAAAGGGGAGGGAGAAGGTTGGGTCGGCAAGGAAAGGCGAAATAGGAAAAGGGACAGTGAGATAGGGATACAAGTGTGCTAAGTATTCCTCACTTTAGTTATAAACGATAAACATTAGAGTATGTATGCGTAAAAGCAATCGTGGTTGTGATCATCTGTGCATCACCTGGTTTATAGCCTTCCGAGACGGCTCTGTTAATTGAGATTCCAACTCCTTCAATCACTGCCAGGATTACTCCACCTAAGTGTATGAGAAGAAACTCAGGTGAGCTACACACCAGTTTTTGTGGCCTTTACATAGCTTTTTCAAAGGCCCTGTGATCTAGCTATTACATCATCACGTCTAACAGATGACATAATTGGTATAAAAAATTCACCTGTGCAATAAACCCGTGGTGCACGTAAGACACATGCGTCCATGTAGCGAGCAATACACCACACGCAGCAAGCACAATATACAAGGTGTCACACGCCAATTTACCAAAAATGCTTATCTCGTAGAATACTTGGCTTGCTAAATTGACTATGTGGTAATTTAGAAAAAAATCACGAGTTGGCTAAATTTCCAGGTGCACGTCACACTCACATTCACAAAGAAATTTGAACCCTTTGGAATGCTAAAATTGCAGGTTTAACGACATGTAACTCTCCATCATTTCTCGCACACACACACACCTGCAATAGCTGCACCGATGGAGGCCTTGACTCCGTTCCGTGCGGCCAGAACGGCACCGGTTATGGCACCGCTCGCGATGGAGTTCCAGGGGTCCTCTTTGTCTCTCACTGCTATCAGGGCACAGTCAAAAGTGGAGTACAGTCCTCCCCACACTGCAAAGTTTCCTACAGAGGGCCACATACACACGTACATCACAGCGGGATACTTTTTAGGGATTGATTATAAATTTGTGTATTTGAACAAATTTGTATTTGAACTTTTGACCCTGTGGTAGTTGGTACATACACACCTCCTAAGACAGGGGCTCTTGCCTTGACTGCTGATAAACTACCAGAAACTCTGGAGCCCTGGAGGAGAGGTAGAAAGAGTAGGTGAGGGGGAAGAAGGAGGAGGAGAATGGGGGAACAAGAGAGGGGGAGGAGAGGAGGAGAGAGAGAGAGGGGAGAAAAATAAACGACACGAAGAGATGGGGGAGAGGGAAGAGAGAAGGAACACAAATAATGACGCGGGGAGTGGGAGGAAAAAGCGGAGGCAGGAGGTGAGAAAGAGAGCCTTGTACACAACACAACTCTCCTCTCGTCACTATCAAAGGCACAATACAACCAGCAACTCAGCACTCACTGGTACACACAACTCATACTGCTACCTAAGAATCCTGTCGCCTGAAAATCCACACACACAACACGTTTTCCTATCAGGTGAGGACAGACAAAATCCACTCACATTCACTCCCACCATACGACACCCAACATATACTATGTCATCGTACTATGCATATACAACACTACCTACACTATAGTAATGTACTATACATACACACTAGGTCACCGTACTAGATAACTCCTTACAAAAACCAAGGTTAAATGAATACGGTCGAGTAAGGTGAATTTTAACGCTGTTTATTTAGAGCTGGTAAGAGCCAACCTGTCTATGGTTTTTATCTTATCAACAGAGCTATAAAACTGTTCATGTTTTATCGATAATTGTTTGACTTTAGAAGTCTGTTTGCTCGTGTGTGTGTGTGTGTGAGAAAGAAGGAGAAGATGTAATTGCAAACACCAGGGCACACATTTGAAGAAGGAATGGCATCAGTTAATCCAGTAACAGAACGATTGTAATTGCACTGAATCGCCCACCAAAACGCACACAGTCCTTTTGAGCTCTAATTTCAACATCAAACTGGTACATACAGTGGACTAAAACAAATATTTCTCCACCAAGTGATGTTTGTGATTGACTTGGGATTATGGGTGCAGGTGTACGGAATGGAATTCGGGCTGGCAGGCCCGACTAATGAGGTAACGATGTAATGAGCTAATGTGTGTTTCACTACAATTTTATCCGAAGTTGCAGTTATGACATGGCATGTCATTTCATAGTATAATGTTGTATGTGAACAATGGGATGGGGGGGGAGAAAGAATTTGAGAGAGTTAGTGAAAGAGTGTGTGTCAAACCATTGGAGAGTTTCTGTAGCCCTTCCAAAAGGAGAAGATGCCTCCTCCTATGCAACCCATGGCAAAGGCAGCCCCACAGTCCTCCATGATCCGCCACGGACTGCGGAACAAGAAAGGAGATGCAGGGGGCTCCAATTAGAACCCATAGCATCACTGTTCGTGTAAAATTGCGGGGACATAGTATGTCCCCTAAAACATTAACTTACCATGGTTCTCGTTGAAAATCCTCCATTTTTCAACCAGTAAGCCAACTGCGCCACGGCTGGTTGCTCAAGCTAAACAACACGTGGGAAATAAAGTAGGCGTGGTGATAAAACAATTTCTATACCGCTGAATCAGCAGTTTTTCTGGAGACTCGTTAAGCCACGCCCACGAAGTATTTGGCGGGAGTTTGGCGGGTGAAGGTATATACTGTTTTTCGATTTGACTAAAGAACGGCAGGTCTGGAGATGATATAAAATGGCGCGAGGCAAGCTAACAGAGCCCGGAGACTGGCACTTCAGCCGCTCGAGGTTTGACTGCGGAGAGTCTCTCCATTTAACGCGCACCTTACTCACCAGGTGTGTGACGTCATTCCCCCAGGATCTGGACCAGTTGCTGCGGTGTCCGATATGTTTCGAGTACTACGAGGCGACCATGATGTTTCCACAGTGCTCCCACAACTGTACGTCCCCATAGCAACAGTATCGATGAACATCTTATGGAGGACACTTATATAATCACCGACATGACACTTGTCTTGTCTGTATACATGACACTCATTTTGATCCAATGATAATTACTTTTGTGTATTTATTAACCTCTGAATAAAGGACACCTCAATTATTATGCTGCACCCCCCAAGCTTGTCCTTTATACCAGAGGTTCAACAATAAATATTAATTTTACTGCCTATTAAACAATATCCATTATAGTTTGCTCTCTGTGCATCAGAAGGTACCTTTCAGGTGGGAAAACCAAATGCCCCATGTGTGCCAAGGTGCGTAAAACAAATATCCTTCCTCACTTTTTCACCTTCTATATAATACAAATAGTGTGTAACAGAAGGAGATTTGAAGAAAAACAGACTTGTGGACCAACTTGTTGAGCATTTCAAGAGTAGCAGGTATATACAATGTTATTATTATGAGCACTTCACATTGAAGATCTATTTTGTTGTTGGCAAATTAAATTGGCAGTAATTAACTACTGAAGGCTGGTGTACCAAAAGACACTCTTGTTTTTTCATTTAGAAGTGATGTGCATTTATAATATTTTGCGCTTTCACAGACCTAGGGTACTAAGTTGCTGCCACCAAAATTGCCTAACAATATTGGCTTTACTATTTGGCTTTACTATGACCATGTGTAGGGAAGCTTTGCTGAGCCTAGTTCAGAGCAGAGGCGACCATCGCGCGAAAGAGACAGCGAAAAAGAAAGAGGGAGTGAAGAAGAACTATCAGGAAACTTCTAGCTTGCCAATGGCCAACACACGCTGTGGTCACCATGGAAAAAGGCGGCTGTATTCAGTTCCCGAGGCACCCGATTTGCCAGACTCAGAGGCATTTGTTGATGACATCATTTCTAGCAGTGCAGCCGTCAGTAGACGTGAGGATGGAGAGGAGGGAAGAAGGGAAGATGGGGATTCGTCCGACACGGCCGATGTTGCGCAATCCCCGAGTTTTCTATCACCGTGGCAACCGGGGGATGTGAGGGAGAGGAAGCGACCGCAGCTATTTGGTGACCTCGGTGAAATAGGAGAGATGAGGAAGAAGAGAGGGAAGGGGAAACTCCGCCATTTTTCTACTTCATCCACTCCATCACGATTACATAATGACATCACTCCCTCCACATCTTCCCCTCTCCCCCTTCCCTCCCCCCTCCCCAACCACTCACCTTCACTGAATCACAACTCCAGCATTGCTTCTTTGAAAACCGAACACTCTCCGTGTTCTGATAAAGGTTTGCTGCTGTTTTTTCCTTCTCCCTTACCTGCTCACATTTAGGAGTAAGCAGCTGTTTTCATTTTCCTCGTCTTTTGTGTTTTTCTTTTCCTGTGCCCTTTGTCCACTCGCATTACCCTCTTCATTTCTTTGCCCCCACTTTCTCTCCTGCTTAAAAAAATTTTTTTTATAATGTCTGCTTTTCCCCAGCCGCATGTCCAGTCTGTGATCAGTTGGTGTTGGTTTGTTTCATCAACAGACATCTAGACGGCTGCCTCAGAAATCCCGACTCCTCCAACTCACAAACCCAGTTAGCATTACATCACTGTTACCAAAAATAGTACATACGGGTACTATATTTAGTAACATTGGTGTTGCCATGCAGGAGAAAGTACGCAAAGATACCTCGGCTGGTTTATCAGATCATGAAGGACAGACAACTCAAATCGAAACTGAAAGAACACCACCTACCAACACATGGTGATAGACAGGTATGGAACAATGTTGTACCTAACATTTCAGTTTGTGAATTCTGAGGACGATTATGTTCACGTCCAAAGCACTCATGGAGATTTTCACAATTTTGTGAAGCTTTCTGCAACGATGTGTGATGAGAGTGTTTGTTGTACTACAGGTGTTGATTGGTAGACTGAAAGAGTTCATTTTGAGATTCAACGCACAGTGTGACTCTCTCAATCCAAGACCACGTGAGTTGTCAGGGAGGAGGAAGGAAGGGGGGAGAACGAGAGGGAGGAAAGGGAACTAGAGAATGAGAGAGGGAGGAAAGGGGTGTTCTCGTGACCTCTGATAGGGGACACCTCGAATGAAGGAGACAATGGATGCACTTTGAGGTTCCAAACCTTCACTTTCAATGATTTCATAGTACATTTTAACCTCCAAAGACGACAGTCTCCCTCTCTATCAGCCTGGTCCTAGTGTTCATGTAGGTTCCACTGTATACGTTTTCTTTCATCTTAGCCAAAGAAGTAGCGATGGAGATAGAGCAGGAGGAACGGATGAGGCAGGCCAGCAGCAAACAGACTCAGCAATCACCAGTGAGTGTTTGCATTGTGGAGCTTCCCAGGTAGACTATATAGTCATAGCACCAAACTGACCTTCTCAATTGCCGTCTGTGAGACTTTGAATGCAGATACTGCTATATAGTGTGTGTATTACTCTATTCATGTGTGTTGTTCTGTTAGCAGGTCACCAGGGGGAAGAGAGAAATGACAGTAGAAGAAATAGAGAAAGAGAAGACAGACTATGGTATGGTGGAGCTCAATATTCACCATCAGTACTTGCTATTATTACCCTCGGCGCGCATGCGCAGCGAGGGTATGTATCTGTCTGTGTTAGGTGCCCGGTTCGAATCCTCGATCCCACACTAAAGTGTCAGGTGGTCCAGAGCATTGGCTGGGAACAGCTCTGGTTCCTCCCCTTACCCACAAATCTACCACTGACCCACGTTTCTCAAAGGGCAGCGTATAGTTCGGCATTGCACTGCGTCTGTAGACGTCTGTCTGGAGAGATGAAGGGCTGGGCATTTTTTGTTTTTTTTGGGGGGTTTTTTTAATTTTTTTTTTTGCACTAAACAATCCACGGGTAATACGAAAATTAATAGAGAGATGAAAGGTTGGTAATTTTTCAACCTTGTATATTTTTTGGGCCTCAAACAGAAATAGGGCTGGGCATTTTTCAACCTTGTATTTTTTTGGGCCTCAAACAGAAATAGGGCTGGCCATTTGGTGCCACACTTGTGTATGGGTTCCACATTTCTATAGAGTGTGCCGAGGGTTTGCACTTTAGTGCTTCTCATTTTTTCTGCATACTTGTGGCATTTTTGGGATTCCTGTGTCTCTGGCTCCGCCTATTGTTCTTGGTGCATAATATGCTGTATTGATAACTATCACTGCCTCCTAGTTATTATTTGAAGATTATTTTATCTTGTTTCTGTTCAGAAGAGCGACATAAGGATCAGTTTTCCAAGCTGATAGTCCAGGCCAGAGATCAGATGAGAGAGACGGAGAGATATTGTGGTGCGCTACGAGAGAGGAAAGTGGTTGTGTGTGATTCTCGTGTGCTTTTCAGAGAGACACAAGGAACTGCTAGTCACTGAAGTTGGCAAGGAGAAAATGGAGGAGAGGGGGAAAGATTGGAGCAACCAAGTCTCAGACCTCTGTTGTGATACAGCTGATGAAGATGGGTGAGTTGATGTATAGAGTTTAACCCTCGCTGTGCATGCGCGCCAAGGGTTAATTATTCCCCTCTCCCTTCTATTTTGTGATCTCCATAATTTATACCGTTGAACTCACGGTGTATGTCTTACAGAGGTGTCTTGGCCAAAGCTAGTCCTGACCCAGATCTCACTCCTCTGGCTAGCAGTTACAGGTCCTCTCACAGTGTTCCTGAAAGGTGAGGCAGCTTTTGCCTTTTCATTTACACTAGTATAATCGCAAAACTTCTATTTTTTCAGTCCTCCACATTCTGATGGTGGATCGGCACTCCTTCGTGGAAAGAGAAGTCGACAATCCACTCCCTCTCCTACCCTCTCCCTCTCCCCCTCGCCTACCCTCTCTTTAGTGGAGTGGAGCGACGAAGAATTTATTCCAAATGTTGCCCACTATCGGACGCCGTCTTCTTCCTCTTGCTCAAGAAGCCTGACCAGAACTGCTAGCAAGAGACCACGCAGATAGACAACAGGCATTGAGAGAGGGAACTTTATCTATAGTGTATGGTTTTGAAACTTTTACTTTCAACGTCTCTTGGATTACCATTTGTATGAACTACAGTGTTGTACAGTTCCTCTGGCAGTTGTTTTGTTTCTCTGTACTTTGTGAATATGTAAATGAGCATGACAATGATGTATGTGATTTTACAGATAGAACAACATTGGTGACAGAAAACCTGTGATGACATTAATTACTACACAATCCATACAGTAAAATTTCCAATGATACAATTACACATATATTATATAGATTCATGTATGTTACAGGGTTTTGTTGTTTTAGACGAAAGTGGCAAAGTTTGGTTGACTTGAGGTCTTGGCGAGTTTTCGCATTGCCCCGTGGACCTGCTGGCTAGTGCCCCTCCTAAACCCAGCTCCAGTCTCCGTGTTTCGATCTGACATTCTGCGAACTAGACCTCGTGTACAGTGGGTTTGCCTGTGAAGAAGTCATTGTCTGCGAACCGCCGTAGCGAGCGTGGAACGAGGAAGTGACGTCCTGGGAACTGGACGCGACAGCCGCTGAAGCCATGTGCTGGAGAGGCGAGGACGCTACTGGGGTCACGCTCTGAGGACTGGTGGTCCGATATTGAGACGCGGGGGTGGAGCTAAGTCGGATTCGTTGCTGGGAAGACGGCCTAACCGGTAATCGGCTGTATCCGTTGGAGTCGTATCCAGGCTGTGGACTTGCGGGGTGGGACCTCTTTCTCTCTTCGTCTCCATCTCTCTGCTGTAGTCCGGTGCCCCTGTGATCCAGCTCACTGAGCGAGGCGTACTTGTGCTCTGGAGACTGGGGAGGAGGTGGAGGGGGACGGTGTGCTGTGGGGATGGGGGGAGGTGGAGGGGAGGAGTGGAAAAGAGGAGAGGGTTGGTACGATCGTGCCGGCGAGGGGGATTGGTCGATCTGTAGCATTCGTGTCTTGGAGTCTGCCCAGAATGAAGATTCGGTTTCAATCGTATCGACAGTGTACACGGTCGAGGGTGGAGCTTGGTCGAGAGTAGATCCCGAGTAAGCTGGGCTGAGGCGGGCAGCGTGCAGGCTCTTGAGGGCCTCCTGGAATGGAGGGGGGTTGATGTAGGCGGGGGCCTGGCTGCTGATGTGGCTGGCTGTACTCAGAGAGGGTTCGTAGTGGTATTTGTTGTCTGCCGCTGAGCTCTCTGATTCCTGGCCGTCCAGTAACAGGACACCAATGTTGCTGCTGTGAGCGAGAGAGAGAAGAGAGAGAGGCTGGATTAAAGGTGTGCAAAACAGAAGGGAATAGGTGTATTGCGCAAAGCTTGCTGCTATATAATTATACAATCTCTGAACAATCAGTGGAAATTCTCCCAAGGCAAACTTTTTGATTCACAAAATTTTTCACCCTGTAGCCACTAATTTAGAGACCTCTGTACACAAGTAAATGGCCCCCCTTGCATGGCATATGCCATTCTGTTTGTTGTGTGTGTGTGTGTGAGTCAGTCACTGGTAATCATTGACAATCATTAGGACATTCATTAGGTGGGTGTGGGGGTGTGATTGAGCCACGTGGGAGATTAAGTGGGTCATGAATAGGTGAGCTTGTTTGTCCGGATTGACAATCGGGACACCCATCACAAAACTGGGCAGCTACATACTAACTCCTCTCACTATTCACTAACATAGTACATACGTACATATGTAGCAACTATAGAAGCTTTATGTACAAAGTATTATGCTATGAATCCACTCGGGGCCAGCTAGTTAGAGCATGAATACAGTGTATAACAAACTGACCTCAAAGTATAGGTAATGTATATACTGCTGTTCCACACTGTAAGCGTATTGTGCAGACTAGTGTAACATTAATGTGCAGCATAGCCACGTACGTTTCTCCGTTAAGACGGGAGCCCCTTCCATTATAGTCTTTCATGTCGTCTTCAGTCAGACTACGAGTACTTCGCCCATTGCTTTTGTCCGTCTCCGTCTTTGACTGGACTGTATGGGAAGAAAGGAGGGAGGGAGGGAGGGAGAGAAGGAAGGGAAAGAGAAGTAAAGAGGGAGGGGAGAAGGAGAGGAGAAAGAAAGAGGGTTAAACTATGAGTGAGAACAACAGGTTAATGCCATGATATTATACATGATGCAACTTTGTTGTGTGAGGCTAATATATATCATGGAGTGGGAGGGAGAAGAATAGAGGGAAGAGTGTCTATATACCCACCATTGTATTTCTGCTTTCTGTGGCTGGTGCTGCGAGCGTACTTGACTCCACACAGCAGCAGCAGACCAGAGATGACCACCGCCAGCCCCACCACAAACACCACCACGATAAACCACACCCTCTGGTACACCGGTGTCCCGCTCTGTTCGCCTCCTGCATTTTCAGTCAAGGTGAGTGCAGAATCAACCTTGGCTAGACCGCGACTGTATATTATTACGTATCTAAGTGATTCCAGCTACGTAGAAAGGGACAGTTAAGTGATTCTCAGAGTTTCAATTTCCAGGTGTATATACTCGGATTGTGACTGGTTGCCAGCACTTCACTTACGCTATTCGCAGCTAGAACTGTGTCTATTAGAAGCTTGGCAGGGTTCTTTATTGCTGTAACCGTCTTCAAAATAATCGCCAATGTATCAAAATGGACCACTTTTCTTGTGTGTGGTATAATACATGGTGTGTTTCTGAATGAGTGTCTGGATGTAGTTGACGTTATATTCGGGTGTCCTGACTATACCTGAGAAAGCGTCCTGATTATTCAAGTGTCCTGACTATCAGTGTCCTGATTACAACCTCACTAGAGGTATGTATACACAGGGAAGGAAAGAGAGTGGGATGGTGTTATGAAAGGTACTACTGTATATAAAACTGTATGCCATAGTTGGGTAATTGGCGGTTTGGGTTGGCCTTGCCAGCTCATTATTGGGACTAAAAGGTCCCTCATTCCAACTGCCCAAAGGTAAACACATCTACATACAGATTGTATAAAAAGCTCAGTATATATATTATACCTGATTTATCAGTGGAGACGATGATTGGCTCAGAGTATGGGCCGACACCAACAGACGTGCCGGCTGCCACCTCGACCAGGTAGGAGGCCCGCTGGAGGAGAGGGGAGAGGTAGTGGTGGGTGGAGTTTGAGCCCAGAGACACCGTCTGGTAGAAACTCTGAGAGGACTCCGGTTTGTAGCGGACGGTGTAGTTGGTTATGATACCGTTCGGCTCTGCGGGAGGCTGAAAGAGAAGAGGGGAGAAAATCTAGGAAGCTGTAACATCAGCCTTACTGACGACTTTGCAATTTCAATATCATAGTGGTAAGGTTGCAATCAATGTACGTAGAAGTAGGCTTTAAAATAGTCTGGTTTGCCACTCCCCCCTACTGTCAGAGTAGCTGTAATCTAAACTCAAGTCACGACACGAAACACATTAAAAAAACTAAACATACGTTGCTTGAACCAAAGCAAAAATCTTGTTGAAATGTGACTACATTTATCTAAAGAGGTCCTAATATTCAGCAGCAAAAAATTTTGCTCACCTCCCATTCGAGAAAGACAGTTGTGGCATTGACAACGGTTCCAGTCATGTCCCCCGGAGGCCCTGGTCTGTCCTCCCTCGTCCTGATCAGTACACTCTGCCCCAGCACCTCCCCCGTCTTATAGTTGGCGTACACTGTCACATTGTACAGTGTGTACGGTCGAATCGGGGTCTCAGGGGACGAGGACAGAACGACGGTGTTGTCGTCGTTGACCTGTTCAGTCACCTGATGGATGGGTGTGGTTTCTCCGACCTTGGTGTAAGATACTGTGTAGGAGGTCAGTTTGGTGAGGGCACCTTGACCAGGGAAATACCATTCCACCTGATGAGAGAGAGAAAGAGAGAGAGAGACTAACATTTTTTCTGAAGACCAACAGCCTTTCTTAACACCCTAAAGTATACAAGCCTTCTTCATTATGTAGTAGATATCAATTTTGCCCTCTTGTAGCTGCTCTGCCCGCTTGCATTTGAAACTGAGCCCTCAAACTTTGTAAGTTAGTATCATTCGACTAAGGCAACAGTTCATACCGTGAATGAAGACGAGGTGACTTTAGATTGGGAAACTGGTATCAGAAGAGGTGGTATCAGCAGCTCTGGAAGGATGAAGGGAGAGAAGAAGAGGGAGGGGGGGGTGTGGGGAGGAGGTCATTGATTGATGGAGACACCACACTCCCTGGGAAAAGGCTCTCAATACCAGGCCATCAATTGGCTGAGGTCAAAACACCAGGCTATGATTTCCATTACACACGCAACTTCTCACTCCCTTTCTCTCTCTCTCTCTCTCTTCTACTGAAACACCGCATATTTGCAAGGGGATTATATACTATGAATGCTGAATGTTTCTTGACAGTATATACTCCCTTTACTTGTCCCATTCCCCCTTTCCCTTTTCTCTCCCTCTCCCCCACTCACTGGTTGGAGTGGTGACTCTCAAATATGCAGACTTGGTCGCAGGGCCCTCCAACCCTCTCAACAGTGACACCACTCTACACTGGTATATCCCTCCATCCCCTTCCTCCACACTGGTGAAGGACACGTTTGCAGAGTGAGCCCCTGTTATTAGTGACACCCTGACTCCATCATATGTCAGAGGAAGGTCGTCCTTTAGCCACGTGAAGTTTAGAGTAACACCGTCCTGCATGAGTGAGACGAGCATAGCTTGTAATTCCTAGTAATTTACAGAAAATGATCGATTGAACACGTATAAAGACTAAATGTTGTCATTTTTACGGAAAATACTAAGGTTGCCAAAATGCTGCATAAAGCCTGTATATATATTTCGCAGCTCTTTATAGAGTAGATATATATCTGTAATACATGTACATGGAGACTACATATGTGTGTAGGGCGCCACCAAACACGTGAAGTAAAGGACATCTGGCTGAACGGTAATGAAATTGCAGCTAGATAGCAAAATGCTGCATAAAACCTGTATATTTCGCAGCTCTTTATAGAGTAGATATATATCTGTAATACATGTACATGGAGACTACATATGTGTGTAGGGCGCCACCAAACACGTGAAGTAAAGGACATCTGGCTGAACGGTAATGAAATTGCAGCTAGATAGCAAAATGCTGCATAAAACCTGTATATTTCGTAGCTCTTTATAGAGTAGATATCATACAGCAGACTACATACAGGCTACCACCAAACACCTGAAGTAAAGGACATCTGGCTGAACGGTAATGAAATTGCAGCTAGATAGCAAAATGCTGCATAAAACCTGTATATTTCGCAGCTCTTTATAGAGTAGATATCATACATGCAGACTACATACAGGCTACCACCAAACACCTGAAGTAAAGGACATCTGGCTGAACGGTAATGAAATTTCAGCTAGATATAGCTGCAGGACACCTGACAACCTTGCTACACATACCAAGCTGTGTGACTATCTACCATTCTATAGCTCAGCGCCAAACTCATAGCGGGGTAAAGTTTTGACCAGATGACTCTCCCCATAACAATAGTTCAGAGAGAAAACTCGTGGATGGCTTGAAAGTCACCTTAAACCTTAATTCTACATTCAATTGTACGGTACCTGAGCTTCTGCGAGGCATGGAACGATGGCAGATCTCTCCTGCTCCAGTGCCAGTAGAGGCTGAGAGAGACTGGGAGTTGTGACGTTTGTAGGCACTGGGGAAGAAATAGTCTGCAGTGAGGATGTGTTTGCGATTAAATGTCACTATTTGTCTCATTTTAGTAGGATTGTTTCACTTACCGATGACGTCAAGAGTGACTTGAGCATCGTCGCTACCCAAAGCCTCTTCGTCCACCTCGTTCACTGCCCTGCACGTGTACACCCCTCCATCCTCCACACTCAGTTCCGGCAACACCAGTTCACTGGTCGTCTCTCTAGTCACCGCGTCCCTCTCCCCATCGTCCCTCGTCAATATGACTTCGTTGTGAAGCCATACAAAGTATGGGGGTGGGGCTCCGTGTGCCACACAGCTGTAGGTGGTTTGGTTGCCAGCAAAGAGTAGTTGCGACGCGGGCGATGGTACTTGCCGTATACTGGCTGGGTAGGCTGAGGAGGACAAGAAAAACAAATTTGCACAAACTTCGTAATGGTCTCAGGGGAAAATCAGTGATCACAAAAGTTGTAAAAACCAGGCTGTTTTGAATATTCCAGCCTCTCTTAGTTTTGCCAGTGGAATACCTGTGTTCCTGCATTTTATCCCCTGCTGTAAACAACTGGTTCAGTGGGTTTCTCGTTACATACTATTCTGTTGGTAGAGGACCACCAGTTAGAGAAAGTTCCTCCCCCCTCTCAAGGGTAGACAACACACCCCCCATTGTCAAGTTACCACCGTTTAATCAGCCATTGTGTATTCCACCCAGGTGTGCAGGACAAGGTTCACCACAGATGACAAGGTACTCTTGAGGGGGGGGGCTGCCCTTATTCTCACCAGCAACATAGAGAAGTTCTCCTCCCTTACTAAAGCCTTTAGTATTTGCTGCTATTAAACTGCTTATTAATCTACTATTTTCCCAAACTTTGACCAGAGGAAACCCTCTAGAAAACATAAGCATGGCCCAGCTGTAGTTCCGTACTATAGCACACTGGTTCCATGATCTGTACGAAGCTCTGTAAAAATCTACATACTGTACAAAGCACAGTAAGCAGAATTCATACAACCTCTGAAAACACAGTACAGATCTACACAATACATTACACACTTACTGGTTACTCTGACACTGGTGGTTGCACTATCATTCCCAGCATCGTTGTAGGCAAAGCACTGATACAGCCCATCGTGCTTCTTGTTGTGTGCTGATCCGATCGTAAGAGTATTGGCGGAGGTTGTAACCTCAAATGTGTTGGAGTTTGGGATTCTGATTCCGTTGTGGTACCAGATCCACTCACCGACTAGTGTGTTGGTGGAGTCACAGGTTATGGAGAGTTGGTCTCCAAATATGGGGGTGTATGTGAGCTCTGGGGCCACTGAATGACGGGAGGAACTATACAAGAGAGAGAGAGAGAGAGAAGAGAGAGGTCTTGACATGGTGCGAAAGAAGAAATCTCGGAAGATAACTTGATACAGCACCACACTTGAGGCACAATGCTGACCTTCTGTACTCTAGCTAGAGCAGTGTGTAGTTAGTATGTACATAGTTTGGCGTGGTAAAACATACCCAGAACAGTGAGAGTGGCTGTGAAGACACCGAGACCAGTGACGTTGCAGGAGTAGACACCAGCGTGCGCCAACGAGGCACTCGAGATGAACAGAATCGCACTGTTCTGTAGGAAAAAGGGTTGTGGGGTGACTGTTGTCGGGGCGCTCCAGGATATGTCGCTTGCTGTTGGCAGTGGGCTGGAGAGGGAAACCAGTGGTATCAACTACACTAATGAATAGGTTTACAGTATAGTAGGGAACATTCGTGGGATAAAACACAAATTGGGATAAAACACAAATTAAACATTTTGTCCTGGGTTGGGACTTACATTTTGAGGCAATCTGCAGCATTATGGCAATGTTTCCTAAAAATTTACTCTCTCAAAACTCATGCAATCGGCATAATCTTTACAAATTTTTCATGGTAGTAAGGCAAACCTTCCTCCAACGATGCACTGGAAGAAAGCAGAGTCTCCCTCACTGACCACCAGGTCTTGAGGCTCAGCCATCATCTCCCGTGGACTTGGAGTCAGATCTACAACATCAAGAGATGAAGAGCTTTTTAGTTTCATCATCTTTAAGGAGGTATAATTATACCTTACCACATTTTTTACTTCATGGGTTCTATTATTCCAAGGAACAAGAAAACTAATTTTTTGGCCTTTGTTTCAAACCTTATAATCGTAAGACATTTCCTTACATATGCAATAAGCTTAGAGGATCAAAATGGCTGGTTGCTTTTCTCTAGCTACATAGCAAAATTGGTCTTACCACTTGCTGTAGTGGTTTCTGCACTGAGCCTGATAAATCCAGCAACAAAGAGTCCAAGTTGATTGTTGCTGGCCTTGCAGTTGAAGACAAATCCTATGTCCAACAGTTGTTGCGTTACTAGCTGCAGGTATAGGAGCCCGTCGTAGCCCTCGATGATCCCATAGGTTAAGAAGAGTTGATCTAAAGTGGACGTCCATTGGTACTCCACTGGAGGGGTGCTGGTGACTTCGCCACAACTTAGGACAAGATGTCGGTCGATGGATGCAGTCACTGTGGCTGGGTTATTCTCTTCTCCTGGGGGAGAGGCTGAAATAGCTGGGGGAAAGAATTGAAGAGGAAGGTTAGTGATCATCATTTTGCAAATGATTTGAAAATGGTGGCCTAATGCATAAAGAATGGATTGCAATACAGTATTGACATATTACATGGCTACATAGTTGACAGTAAGAGAAGCAGTTTCAAAATACTACCAGCTGAAAAAAGGAGCTATTGGCACGGGGGGTTAGGAAGGTGTATAAACATGAGAAAAGGTTGCCCCACTGCGGTTATAAGGGAGTTTATGGGGAGAGTGTACATACTGTGGGTGTACTGGACACAGAGAAGTGGGAGAAGACAGACAGAACAAACAATGTGGGAGGGAAGGAATACTAATACCAGCAAAGCTCCAGTCCTCCGTGGGCCGCATCTACATCTAAGTGGCTGCAACCTCTCTCTGCCAAGTCCTACACCACTAGCCTAATGATGTGTGTGTGTGTGTGTGCGAGCAGCCTTTGGCATCATATATATAGTACACTCTGCCTCTACACAAGTGTATGGGTCTGGCTTTGATCACGGAAATTCCTCTGACCCAGCCAAAAACCCGACTGATAGAGATCGTTCCCGTGAAAACACCACAAGATTCCCGGGCTAATGGCTCGCCATTTTCTCGCCCCTCAAGGCACTCAGGGCGAGGCTGTAGGGCGTACACGGCAATTTGCATAACCCGGAGCTGCACTGCAGGAGAGAAAATTTTGTGGGCATGCTGCATGACTTTGCCTGACTAATTTAGGGCATGTTGTGATTTTCCCATATCTGGGGACTTGCATATAAAAACCCATTGAAAGTGGAAGAGGTGATATGATGATTGTACAATGTGTTCTGGCAGACAAGGCGTTGGCTTTAATCACATGTCCCCAGTTGGCTGAGGTTGGACAACTCACACAGAGACACCGCCTTACGACACACTAATTTGCTGACCACCACTCACTATCATGTTCACTATCACATGATAGTGACACTACTTCTAGGTAGGGTCCCTTCTCTTGTTCAAAGCTAATATTTTCTACTGTAGAACATTTTCTACTCGTGCCTAAACCAAATGCCTCACATGAAAAAAAAACATGAGGACACCAGTGAGCAATTGAGGAGGGAAAGAGGAAAGATATGTGCAGGCTCGTGCCAAATGCACTGTAAACATACTAAAAACGATTTTGCATACACATTTTCCTTTTCCTGTCCTTAGCATTTCTCTATCTGTCGATAAGTGTACACGCAGAAACTGTCAATAACAAAAGCTGCAGGCCAGTTTTATATACCTCTAGGCAAGTTTTAGTATAACTTACAGGCAAGTTCAACTCTTGCAATGGCTGAAGTGACGGTACCCACTTCGTGGACGGTAGCCCGGCATGTATAGCTCCCAACACTGTCCTCACTCAACGCAGCAATCCGGTATTCTGGGCCACTAGCTACGAGGTTGTTGTCCCTGAACCACTCTATGAGGTGGGCTTCTTCTTCAACTGCACACGAGAGGGACACAGAGTCTCCGGGTATTGCTATGCTCCCTATAGGATGTTGTGTGATGGCTGGAAAAGTGGAGTTGGTCTGTGAGTGGACCAGCTCTGTGGGGTAAAGGAGAGGCGCATAACATTGCAAGTGTTAGAGAAATAGGCAATTTATATTCGAAAATGTTTTTTCGAGAGTGTGTTGTAGGACATTCATAGCCAATCTCAACACTGTGGTTTATTAGGCGAGCGAGATTTGTGTTGTGTGGCAACTTTCATTGCGCTGCTGGAGCTGCCACGATGAATAGCCTTGCGGTCTGGAGGTTTGCACGGAGTATCTGCAAGACTCCACGGGTTGGTTTTTTCCGTATACATAGGCCTACACTGCGGGGCTAATACAAACTCCATCGATCTTCGCTAATGCACCGTGCAAAAAACAAGTCCACTCACCAACGATAGAGAGAAGAACCGCAGCAACGGCTCCCACCAGAGCTATGCTCCTCCCTCTCTCCATCTCTCTGCAAACCCGCACTGAGCACCGATATTGAGAAGATATATACCTGCAACATTATAAGATTCGTGAGGTAATATTACTACAGTTAGCTGCAGCTAACCTTATGGTCTGTGGCTGTAGGTCTACACCGCGGGAAACTGAAGTTGGTGGGGGGTAGTTGTATGTATGCTGGAGAGGGGCTCCGGAATCCAAAGTTGTTGGCGAAGCTCTTGGCAGCCGCTCTAAATACCGACCCTCAGCTGGCAGATATCACCGCGACCGCTAGCGATAAGATAGCCACTCTGATACAACTATTCCTGCAGCCCACGCCAGCCAAGAACGCACTTTCCAACTCAGACCCTCAGCCAAGCCACCAACAGCAATGCCCGGAGCTACAAATTAGCCGAAAAGACTCGCATCCGCGCAATACACGTATACTGTTGTTTCCATGGCGATTAACCTAGCCCCACCCACATTTCTGCAGATACCACGCATGCGCAGAAGCCAGACAGACAGGCGAAAGGATATAGGAAGGAGCACGGGGAACGGTGCAATCATCATGGAATTACAATACAACTTGATCTTGTATGAGGGACGAACACACCTAATGGTTAACTTTGCTTGCTGTTGATAAGCCAGTCACTCAGTACTCCAGTTCATAAACAATATTAGTATGACATGGTCTGCATGTCTTTTGGCCTACATATTTCGTTGCTTTCGAGGTCCCTTTTCGCGGTCGACGATCCTGGTCTGCAGTAGCTGGTCTTGTGGCCAGGGGAGCCATGCCGTTCCTGCAAACAGCTTGATGGTACGGTGGCTGCAAACCAGCCCCGCCCCTAAAACTGCGCACGCGCAAATTTGGCAGGGGCGGGACGATAATACTCCGCCCACCTTTGGTGAAATATGCGTGTGTGTGTGTGTGTTTGTGCAGATCGGTACAGTTGTCTCTAATGGGAATTTCTTGTAGAGCCCGATTCAGCTCTGTTGTTGGGAACAAGCAGTAATCGTGAGGTATGACGGAGGTGCGTGACAAACGATCTGTGCTGCAGCAATCCCCAAACGGATCGTCAGCGCTCGTCGACGGCGGCGGTGTTGGAGAAAAGAGACGCAAGCCCCCGCCTCCTCCTGCACCATCTCCCGCCCCTTCTTCACACAACCACCAGCTCAGGAACGGCAACTCCCTGTATCCCGGGGACTCTACGAGTAGCGGCGGCGACAAGATACACAAACTGAGCCCGGCATTGCTTCAAAGATTGGAGAAGACAAACTGTAGCTCGTTCGGTGGCGGTACCGTCGCCATCAAGGGAGGGATTGCCGGGGCAAAGACTCCGTCCCCCGCGCTCAAGAAGAAGGCGAAGTCGGCGTCTAAACTGCCACCTAAACCTCCAATCGGTGGCGGACCTACGAAAGATACGTCGTCCAGCCAGCTCCAGGCAAATAAACTGGGCGTGGGCTTGTTGGCCTCCGTGACGAGAGATTTCAGTGCTTCTACTGGTCACCTCGATTCTACCTCCTTCTCCTCCTCCTCGTCTTCTTCCTTCTCTTCTTCTTCATCTTCACACAAACAAACTTCGCCACATTCAGTCCGAGTCGTCAACAAACGAACTTCGCCACATTCAGTCCGAGTCAAGTCGTCCAGCCCTCAAATGGCGTCTCGCAGGACTGCAGCTCTGAGCATGGACGTTTCAAAAGTAAAACCTGGAGTAAAGGAGAAACCAGCTCGACCTGGCAGCACCAATGTACCTAAAATAGCTAGTATCTTTTCTCCACCACTGAAAGATGTCTCTTTTTCTCCACTTCGTGCACCGTCCCCCTCAGGAAGCCCGTCACTCCCGCGCAGCAGACGCGACTTTGCTGATTCTTTCGAGGACAGCTACTCGCCCCCGCAGCGTGCTTCCCCCGCCCCTCAATCTCCGACCAATAACAACACCTTTCTCACCGTGCGTCAACAATTTGCATCTCGAAGCACAGAGAACCTTCTGGAAGACAGGACGAGGAGGAGGAGGAGCCCCGCCCCCAGCAAAGTCCCGAAACAACGCTCAAATTCAGATGTTACTTCTCCGCCTCCCCCGGCAAAGAGAGGGCCCAAACCGGCCCCGCCCCCAAAGAGACCAGGGTTGAAGGCAGTGGCACTGGCATCCAAACCAGCCCCTCCCCCGAAGAAACCGCACATCAGGCAACTGAAGAAATCGCCCGATTTCAGTCGGTGAGTTAGTGGTCATAGTGAGGGGGTTTCCTCCCCCACTTCCCCCAGGGGGGCGCCGCCCCCCGTGGCCGAGAGGGTGCGTTCCCCCAGCGCGTCCTATGACCCCACCTCCTCAACACCAAGGAAGCCACACCCAGTTTCTCCATCGAGCGTCTCATCCCCAAACCCCTCCTCCCTCCATCAGCCGATACCCAGCGGCAGTGGAGTTGGAGGGGGAGAGGTAATTACCCCAGGGGCATCCCCACTCCCCTCGACCCCGAGCCCGCGAACAAGCCAGCTGGAAGCGGTGCAGAGAAATGCAGATTCGGGGTTCGTATCGGAAGCTGCTGAGGATCCCGCAAGTCCGCTACCAGCTGCTGCTGAAATATGGGACGAAGCTAGGGTAAGGAGGCCTCCATGTGTCAGTGAGGTCAAAGGCAAAAACAACACAACTATATACACCTAGGGCAACTCTTTTTCCAAAGGCTTTTTGCAAAGGGGAAAAAGAAAAAAGAGCTGCCCTGGGTGGGATTCGAACCCACGACACTGCACTCTAGGCGAGCGCTCAACCATGCATGCCATTTCAGTGTGTGTATTTACTGGGGAAGCCTAGCTGACCACAACACATGCTATCAGGTGACCGTGGGTTCGTGTCACTCTGTGGTCTGTGTGTGTGTTTCACTAACTCCATTATACTGTCTCCGTGACAGTGCTTCCTTGTCTCTCTGTCTCCATTTGGTATATGTACATGTCTACCGCTTACCTTTGCTTGTCATAATATGGTGCACTAGAAGAGCAGTTGTGGGCAGAGGCGTTTGGTATTATAGCTACACTGTATATACCCCCTTCTTCGATTATTACTGTTTTGATCTAACTTTTACGTCTTCCACTCTCTCTCTCTCTTCTGTGTGTGTTTGAATATTCCTTCAACTAATTGAGAACACATGATTAGTGTATTTTATCGTAGCTTCGGATACATACATTAATACCCAAAAGCTTACACTTCGAATTCTAGGAATCTTAGGAATGTTTTTATACCCGACCAAACCCTTCTCATTTGAATAGGTCATAAACATACAGTAATAGCAGGCAACAGGTTTGGGACAGGATAGTCTGGTAAAACACACCTTGCAAATCCTTGCGTTTGTTGGTAACACTTATGGTGGATCAACTATACACACGTGGCTGCATATATTATGTTAAGTATTCTCAACCCTCTGATTCCTTGAGTAAATAAGGTAGTGATTTGACGTAAGCACAAACATCCAACATGCCACATTAGTGTGAAAGACTTACAACACCTTTTCTTTATTTCTGCATGCCTGTCGATTTGACAAACAAACCTACCTTGGAATCAGAACTATCTGCTTTTTGAGAGGGTCCTAAACATTATACTGCTGACTAGTGCTATAGCTACCACTGACATTGCTCCACATCAGTAGTGCTATAGCTACATGCGTAGCATTCCCAATATCAGTGTATCTATGGATAAGATATGTCTGTGTTTCAGTTTGTAGCTGCCATGTGGTCCTCAAGGGTCCACAATATACACTACGTGTACCCTCCTACACATGTATGTGTGACAGCCTAGGCATACAGTAACACTTATTAACGCTAACCTCCAGACTATAAACAGTTTCTTTGCCTCTGAATCTTGTGCTATTGGTTAAACAAACTCTTTCTAGTTTTTAAAATTATACAAGAAACTTGAGGGAAAACCTGAGTGACTGAACTTTTACAAATCTGTGATAATTTTAACGGGGTCTTGGGTTTGCTCATCCCATTGTAAAAGGTAACTAACTCCCTTGAAATATGCACATGTAACCACGCTCTCTAAGGGCACCCCTGAACATATGGACACTCACATTCTGTGTCACTTTCTCCAGATTAGAGGGTTTTGCTGTATATACACTCCATTGTACTGCTCTATGACAGGTCTGTAGTTGTAGGTAAAGAGGGGGCAGTGTGGAAGGCGTAGAAAGGAAATGTGGGCTGAGTTGTATGGGAATTTGTGTATGAGGTGTTCCTTTGGACAGTGTGTGTGTGTGTGTGTGTGATAGTGAGGATGGAGAGGAAGGGAGGGAGGGAGGGAGGGACAGACGCTTTGGCTCCTGTGTCTGGCGAGCAATTACACAATTACACAAGTTAAGGGACAGTCATAGAGTCCGGAATGTTGGGTGGGTTTGTTTTGGATAACTTTACTGTTATAATTTCAATTTCACCGTCATGGAATTTTCAAATTCCTCTCTCTCCTTCCCTCTCTCCCTCCCTCTCTCTCTCCCCCCCTCTCTTCTCCCAGGTGGAAAAAGCTCGCAACAAGCGACTTCATATTGCAGAAGAGCTACTGCATACAGAAGTGACGTAAGTTTCCAAACTGCACGTGTATTATGTGTGTAACAATCTGCAGTCTACGTATTATACGATGGTGGTATACCAGAATAGGTGACTGTTATCAAATAGAGGCCCTATATATATATATGACACTCCCAATTGTGCAGTGCATTATAGTAGCAGTACAGTACTCATATTGCAAGTACAGTATGTATACCTACTCTGGACTTTCGTGGAGAAAGTTTCGCGAATTAAGTGCCATGCCAAATATTTATCTCTGTGATGACAGTTTATGGTCCTAGTTTGCATACTTGTCCAATACTACTACATACATCACTTATAATACATTACTACACACACAGTATTACCTATAGTAGTTGTGCTGCTATATATGGTGTTAGGATGTAGCTAATTGTGGGACCTTTGGTAGGAGGTTTGTTCACCAACATCCTCACCACAGAGCCAGGAACACAGTCTCCATTCACTAGCCCTGTTCTCTCCGGCCCTTGATCCCACTGTGTTAGCTATACTGTATGTATACGCACGCCCTTGTCCTTGTATGGTTACTGCATTACAAAGTCTATACATACTGTGTAGGGTCACTCTACCAATGTGCACTTTGACCTCACCGTGGCTATAGTTTTGTGCTCTGAAACCACGCAATGTACTCCAGTAGCACGCGAAACCTCATCCAAGACACCTGTACTCTAGTAGCACGTGGTAGACACCTGTACATTGGTTCTGCCTATAGTGTATTACGTTATTATGTATATACCTCCGAATAAGGGACGTCTATGAATAAAGGACACCTTCTATGTCCACAAAAGTGTCCCTTATAGAGAGGTTCACTGCATATAATGTGCCACACCTGTACGTACTTGCAGAGCAAATCTTTCTTTTTCTCTCTCCAGGTATGTGGATAGACTTCACGTCATAGCTGTCAGATTCCACGGAGCGGTCGCTGCATTCAACTCCCAGAACAAGAACGTAAGTATAAGGCACACTACGAGGTCACCTCTATATGTATGTACATGGACGATGGATGGAAAAACTCACAGTGTGTCCTTATTCAGGGCTGTATACATAGTAATTCGAACCAACTCCCCATGCGTGGTGTTGTGTGTGAGTGGGGTATGGGTATTGAGGCTCTGAGAAGGACCCTCTGAATGAGGGACACTTCTTTATAAAGGACACTTGGCTCTCCCTCATATTTTTGCTCCAATTAAGGAACACCTCTAAAAAAACGTACACTTTCAATCTCCCTCACACCACACACACACACACACACACACACACACACACACACACACTATCGCAGGTAATCCCGGATGGAGATGTAAATCGGATATTTCTAAACATATCCCAAATCCACCATCTCAATACCAACATTCTCGAGGAGCTCCAGAAGCGAATGGGCACATGGTGAGGAGTCACACCATAGTCACATGACTAAACAACACTGTCACATGATCGTCAGGTGACCTAAATCACTTGTCATGTGAGGATCATGTGACACTGCCCTAGTGTTAAAAGCATATTTTTGAAGCATTTGCCATATTTCGACTGTTGGTGAAGGTGTGTGGGTCATATTGAAAGTACAGGTGTGTCTGTAAACAACGTCGTGGACATTATTTACGCGATGTGTACACATCAGTTGCGATTGTTTTGAGGAAGAGTAGACATGTGAGGTATATACATCCGGCAGTCACAGGGCAAATTCTGACCAAACAACACAACATGTCTTAGAGAGTCACCACTGATGACTCAGTGGTAGTACATATTCATCAACCAACCGTCTCTGCTGATACGTTGTCTTTCTGTTTCCTAATCCTCTGTCGTGCCCCATTTAATACCATTTCCCTGTCTTCTTCGCTCCTCTTTTGCTTGATTAGTTCTTCTTTTCATCCCTGTCACTCCTTGCTCTCCCTCTCTCTCAATACTTAAAGGGAATGTGGCAATATATGAGGGCTAAATTTAGAAACTGTTGCTAAAACAAGAAGTGTAATTGCATTCTTGCACTGGGCCCTATTGTTTCTTAGTAACATTTTATATTTAGCCCTGACGCATTCCCTTTAGAACTCTGCAACTGATGCATTCCCTATTCCCCCTCCCCCTCTCCTCCCTCCCTCCCTCTCCTCCCTCTCCTCCCTCTCCTCCCTACCTCCCTTTCCTTCCTCCCTCCCTCTCCTCCCTCTCCTCCCTACCTCCCTTTCCTTCCTCCCTCCCTCCCTCCCTTTCCTTCCTCCCTCCCTCTCCTCCCTCACTCCCTCTCCTTCCTCCCTCCCTACCTCCCAGGCACACCAAAGAAGGACTGGGTGATGTCATTGAGAGACTAGCTCCATTCCTAAAGCTCTACGCCCACTACACCTCTGGTTTCGAAGACGCCATGAAACTCCTCACTTCCTGGACTAAGAGGGACAAGAAATTCGATGCTCTCGTCAGAGATTTTGAAGTGAGAGCCGCATTTATTTCTTGTTGCAATTGAAGACGAATGAAAATTTTTGTGCCTTGAAAAACTTGTAGAATTTCGGCAAAAAATATTCGTTTTACTCTGCAAAAATGTTTTTCAAGTTTGAAATGACAATTATTGTCAAATGTTTTTCCGCAGCGTGAGTTATCAACAGGACTGGGTGTGGCTCACTACATGCTCGAGCCCGTCCAGAGAATACCTCGCTACCGACTACTCTTGACAGGTGATTACATCATAATGACAGCACTCGAATTACGTCATTATTCGTTCGCAGACTACCTGAAGTACATCCCGCCAGATTCCCCCGACAGACAGCCAACACAGAGTAAGGATTAACTCGAGTTTCTGAGGAAAGAATTTTTTGGGCGAATTTTGCGGTTTGCAAATTATCTTTACCTGCGAAATCTTACACATAATAACAAGTAATGTGTGAAGTTACCTCTTATTTTCTTCCAAATGGCGGGAGTTTCTCTCTCAAACGTTTCCCACATTTTACGTTGTTATGCTGCGTATATTGTCCAATACCACTTAAAATCTACAATGATAATATACTCTCTTTGATGCTACCAGGTGTAGGTATAGAATATATGTATTACGTATGCCCATTCGCTATGTGAATGTGTACTAAGCCAAGTGATGTGCAAACAGAGTGTGTGTGTGTGTAAAGCTGGCGATGGCTTAGCTCAGCATGTCCACAAAGTTGTGTTTCCAATATCGTCCCTTCACATGTTTCCTTTACTCTTACGTTTGTTTATGGCACTGCACCAATATGCTAGGTGGTGCTCCATATTAGGAAGTTAGGTTCATCTTCTTCTTCGTCGCATATTACTCATCCCTATACTCCAAATCCGCAGGATTTTGATGTACACTTGTGTAACTCACTATTGTCTTTCTCCTTCCGCAGAGGCTCTGGAGATCATCTCGGAGGCTGCCGACCACAGCAACGACAGGATCAAAGAGCTTGTGAGTTGTGGGTGTGTCCTCTCCCTCTCTCCTCCCATTTTTACTTTCCCTCTCTCCCTCTTGTTCTTTAATTGGCGAGCGAAGCGGGCCTACCTTGTCGTTTAAATGCGGGAATTTTTATTTTTTTTATGTGACTGCTCTGTCTGGCACTCCATATACGGTAATGTTCTACGTGATTCGAAATACGCACACTGATTTCTTCACTCCTCAAACTTGTTAACCCCACTTCTCGTCCCCCTCCCCCCCCACCCAGGAAAACTCCAACACCATTCTATCCATTCAGCGCTCACTGCAGGACTTTGAGGGAACCCTCCTGGCTCCCGGTCGTCTCTTCGTTCGCAAGGGACAGCTTCAGAAATTCTCACGCAAGACAACCACTCCTCGCATGTTCTTCTTGGTACAAACACCAAATGCACACTTAACACACTTAACCAGCCACAGACACATAAATGTGGTGGCAGCCTCCATAAGTCCATAACAATTTATATGAAGGTTATAATACTAGGCATTAATACTTTATACATGAAATTCTGCTTATTTAAGCAGATGCCCATGGCGTCCAAAGAGTTTTTAATACACACACTTGAGCAATCAATAAATCTCTTATTAGCTATTCTGACTTGGTTCGTGGTGTCCTTTGCCTTTTCCCCATGCAACCCTTTGTTGGGAAAAAAGTTGATTTCCTGTTGTAGTTATTTTGTTTGTCTTTCATTGCGTGTGTCAGTTTTCAGACATGCTGCTGCACACTGAGCCAGCCGGGACCGATGAGTACAAGTTTAAGAACGAGATGCCAATCTTCATGATGAAGGTATACACGACAATACTATCACACCACGTACAGTACAAATTAGGCATCGTGTAGGCGGGCTGTGTCGTCGTAGTATTGGAAATGATGTCGTGATGATGTCATCTCTGATTTGCCATACAGGTCGAGGAGCCCGTGGTATCTCTAGTACCACACAGCTTCAATGTCGAGAGTACCACACGCTCCCTTATCCTCGTTGCCAGGTGAGCTGGTGGGCGGAGTCTAGGCCACATGACACTCACATGATCTCCTCTTCCTTCCTGTGTACTGTGTATATATAGTTCTGAGCCGGAGAAGAAAGAGTGGATGATGGTAAGTGAAGCGTTTAACCAGAAACCATTGAGAGAGAGAAAATCAATGTTCATGCAAAAGGTAAAAATTTGCACAACTCGAAATGTTCAATTTCCCCCAGGCTTTGAGAAAAGGAATCGGCGAGGAGAGGAAGAAGAGAGCTTCTCTTCGCAGAGAACTCAGTGTAGGGAGCAAGAATCACACACACACACACACATCTCGCTAATCCCCCATTTATTCTCTCGCCAACAGATAAAGATTGACTCGGGAGTGTTTGGAGCCCAGGCACCCATCATGGTACCCGACAAGAGTGTGACCATGTGCCAGGTGTGCAGCACCCTCTTCACGTTCACCTTCAGACGACACCACTGCCGGGGGTGTGGTAAGGTCAGAGTACCCTTCGTGCTGCTCTCAGGCTATTTCATTCTCCTCTCCCTCGCACGTCGAGCGTCATCTCATTTCTTCCGCTCAGACTAGCCATGTCGCGCTGTCATTTCTCTGCTCTTCGCGCCTATGCGGACTGCGAGCCGGACCGCGGTCGGACGGGAGGAAGAGGGAGCGGGAGAGGCGACACGGCGCCATACGAGCCCATGCTGTAGCAGTACGGGAGTATGCTCGCGGCGCATAACGGGAGAGAGCACGAAGCAGTAGGGAGGCGGTCGCGGGGACTGCGACAGTGGAAGAGCGATCCCTCTATCTCTTCTTCCCTTCTATCTTCACTCTTTCTCTTTCTCTTCTCCATCTTTCTTTTCTCCCTCCCTCCCCCTACCCTGCTCCCCTCCCTCCTTACCCTGTTCCCCTTCCTTCGTCCCACTGGATCACACTATAATATTCATACAGGTCGTATGTGGCAGCTGCTCGCAGTGGAAGGCGTTTCTTCGTTATCTCAAAAAGAGTGAAAGAATCTGCGAGAAGTGTTACAATACCTCTAAATCAGGTATATATACATATGCCAGTATGTTTCTTTACAAGTTGGTCACTTTCGTATTTCTATTTTATGGACATTGCGCATTTCTTACTAGGTCCAACTGCACATGCACATAAACAGTTTTACAAGTTTTTGACCTGCTTACAAAAACACCTCATATGTAGTTGAATATTTGTCCGCTCACTCTCTGTTTGCCCGACAGAATCTGGTGAAGAAGTCACGGCGGCAGCGTCCTCGCCAAAGACGTCTCGAAGGAAGGAGGGTTCGGGCGGGATTTTGGACCTGAAGGGGTACGAGGAGGACACCATTAAAGGTGGCTACGTCCTGAGTCAAGACGGCCGCAGTGGAACCGCCTCTGGTACCAGCTGAAGCAAGACTTCTGTCTTTACAAATTCAGGGCTCACGAGGTGTGGTTACGTAACATGCATGCTGTAGCTGCGTTCTGTGTAAGTACACCCTGACTTTGGTTTTTCCCACGATTTTCGTAGAACCTGTGTATAGAGAGACAGCGTTTTTTACAGTCATTGTGTGAGGAGCAAGTAGAAATGTTAAACTAAACAATACGGCCCAGTGCAAAAATGCGATTAGGTTTCTGTTTTTTTTGGTAACTATACTGCCACATTCTCTATGTATGTTCGTGTGTTAACGGTTCCGCCCATTGCTCTGGGTGCGTGGTCTATGGCCCTAGTGCTATGGCAGCCACCTGAGTATTATATATACTGCCACATTCTCTTTAACATACTTGTTCTATATATAATTCTGCAGGATATAAAGGCCATCAGTGCTCTTCCATTACCTGGCTACATTGTAAAATCGGTGAGTACAAGATAGGATTCTCTATCACACACCTACTAACGTGTTCTGTATTTCTTCTTCTTACCCTTTCTCTTTCTCTTTTCCATCTTCTTTTCTCCCTCCTCCTTACCCTTTACCTCTCTCCCCCTCTCTCCTTCCCTTTCTTTACCCTTTCTCTTTCTCTTTTCCATCTTCTTTTCTCCCTCCTCCTTACCCTTTACCTCTCTCCCCTCTCTCCTTCCCTTTCTTTACTCTTTCTCTTTCTCTCTCCCCTCCCTCCTTACCCTGCAGGATCCTGAAACATGCACAATCACACTCACACATCCTTCATCCAATAAGAAACTGAGCGATACATTCAAACCAGAGATTCCTGATGATTTCGACTAGTGAGTGGACACGACTCTTTTTTGCCCACACTCCATTTTGAATGTAACACACTTAGTAAAAAAAAACACCCTTGGAGTCTAGCCCCATAGAACACTGTACATTTTTGCTCCACTTTTACAAATTTTAGACCCCCAGCAATATTTTAAATATATAACTAGACACTCTCTCTCTCTCTCTCTCTCTCCCCCTGCCTCAGCTGGGTGCTAGCACTAGAGAGCGTCGTCCAGTTGGAAATGCCTTCTCTTCCGCCGGACTCAAAATCTCTCCTCCACCATTTGACGAGAGACTGCGATCACAGAGCCTCAGAAACCTGGACACAGTCAACCTTCCTGAGGGCAGCCCTCTGGAGAACTCTATATGAATCCGTTTAGTTCACAGTCTATGTTCGGTGTGTCTGTAATTAATCTTTCACCAGCTAGCTATTACGCGGAATTGCGCAAGAGACGAGCCCCGCCCCAATGCCAACGAAGCCACCATAATTTTTCGTTGCCCTTCTTTGTTCGGGTGTGAGCATGGCGCTGAACTGCGGGTCTACCGTGGCTCTAGTTTTAGCTCTTTTGGCAGCCGTCTGTGGGACTTGTCCCTTGCACTACAGTCGGACCGTCTACGTGGACCCAAGCAATGGGAACAATACTAAGAACTGTGTGGAGGAGCCCAGCTACGACCAACCCTGCAAGAACCTCAGTTACGCCTTCCAGCGACAGTACCGCAGTAATTCCACCTGCTACTCCCTCCAACCTGGCACCCACTACCTGGACAGCTCTGTCTCACAGTATCCGTTCACTGGTCTGTCTGACATAGCCATCACAGGCAACGCTAGCAATTCCAGCTGCGTAAAGATCCTCTGTTTCACGGAAAACGCCGGACTCAGTTTCAATGCCGTCGCAAACGTAGCGCTCCAGAACCTAACGATTTCCAGGTGCTCTGCACTGCAAAACAGCACGAGTCGGAACTTTTCTTCCCCCAACTTCTCTCTCTCTCGCACCAGAGTTGCCGTCTATTTCAACGACTGTGAAAACCTCGCTATGGACGGTGTCGAAGTAAGCAACAGTCCCGGCGCGACTGGAGTGCTTATCTATAACACCAACGGAACAAATAGATTCGTCAACTGCAATTTCAGTGAAAATGTTGGAAATTCGGAAGACACCTACCCAGGAGGTGGGGGAATGTATGTTGAGTTTAGCTACTGTCTTCCGGGACTGAGTAGCTGCGAGAATGGTTCGATGGATAATTACACTGATCGCAATAAAAACTCGCTTTACTCATTCGACCAGTGTACCTTCAGCCATAATGATGCACAAACTGGCATGACGAACAGTGCACTGACATTTTTAGTTCCGTTCAGAGAGGATCACGTCGCATTTGGTCGAGGCGGGGGGTTATCTATATACCTCAATGCCAACGCAGCCGGTAATACGTTTATCGTCACCAGATGCAAATTTTCAGACAACAGAGCCAAGTACGGTGCAGGTATGTTCTTAGAGTTCCACGACAATAGTACAGGAAACAGTTTGGTCGTTAACGGCACGACCCATTTTACTGATAATACCTGCGATGAAGTAGCTGGTGGTGGAATGAGAGTGGCCCACTATGTTTTTTCCACGGGAGATACAACTGATGGCAACACGGTTCAGCTAAGCTGCGTTGATTTTTCAAATAATAGCGCCGGAAGTGGTGGAGGTTTGTCAATTTCTCCGTCTCTCCAGAGCTCACCTGAGTCACAATTGTTTTCAGTTGTTTTGGAGTACGTGAACTTTGTTAGCAATCACGCTCCTTATGGAGCAGCTCTGAGGATCGATCTCTTTGGTTTGATAGTGGCGGGGGGAAAACCAAACATCGTCATAACCAACTGCATCTTCTTTGATAACTCTGTGTTTGCCCCGGTGTACACACAGCCTGTGGAAGTTGGTCTCGGTGCAGTGTACGTCAGTGATGTGTATCTGTACATGGGCAACTCAACATTTCTGTTCAACTCGGGCACTGCCTTGGTCCTAGTCGCCTCTGGTGTCTATTTCACCGGGGAAAACGGGATTTACCCTCAATAATGGAATCAACGGTGGTGCCATAGCTCTGTTTGGCTCCTCCAGGATAATCATTGATCGCGAGATACAACTGGATTTCGAGGGAAATTGGGCAAGCAACAGGGGTGGAGCGATATTTAACGAGTACGCAGACAAGAGCGATTACAAGAATACTCCGCAGTGCTTCATTGTCCACACCGACCCTTTCATTTGCCCCGATGATTGGGGGGCGGTGTTTCAGTTCATTGGTAACCGTGATTCCCAGGGGCTCAACGCAATCTACTCTACGTCCATCCTTCCGTGTGCCATCTCTGGAGGTACATCACAGGAGCAAGTGAGGCAGATACTATGTTGGGACAACTGGACCTATAACGGGACAAAAAACTGCTCAGACCACATTCGAACTGGTCCAGGATACATTAGAGAGGAGAGAGTCACTCATTACTCTCCTCTGCGTTCGACCGAACAAGAAGACAAGGTGTATATATCGGCCTATTCGGGGCAGTACATCCCACTGTATTACGTAGCTTACGATGATCTAAACCACACACTGCCAGTTCCATACATGGCCACCATAAACACAACTAACTACACCACAGCTAAACTGGACCCCTATTACACCTACGTCACTCAGAACACGCTCAAAGTGTACCAATATGAGGGTACTAGAGTGACTGTTAATCTGGACGAGGTGGGAGACAGAGCCTGGCACATCGAGGTTAATATAGAGCTGGGTAGCTGTCCGCCGGGACTACTACCAATCAACATCTCATGTGACTCCGCGGACTCTGAGAAGCTCTGTATCACCTGCCAGTGCAGCACAGGCGCCAACTACAGAGAAACTGTCCACTGCAACACTAACTACTCTGCCACTCTTATCAGTGATTGCTGGATGGGTGAGCGGCCAGGAACCACCAGCAGCACCAACAATGTCACTGAGTATGTAACTGGATTTTGTCCGTCGGGGTTTTGTTGGTTGTCAGAAGCAGAGTTTTCCCCGATACCTGAACAGGACTTGGACAGTCGCGTGTGCAGGTCACAGCGTCGGACTGGAGTGTTATGTGGAGAGTGCACCGAGAACCACGGAGTAGCACTGAACTCGGAGACCTACGAGTGTGTGTTGTGCAACGTCTCCAGTCACCAGTTGGGTCTTCACGCCACCTACTATGTTCTGTCAGTGTACGTTCCTCTATTTCTCCTGTTCCTGGCCATCATAGTCTTCAACATCAAACTCACCACCGGACCTGCCAATGCCTTCATCCTGTTTAGTCAGGTCATCTCCAGCACTTTCGATATCAATAGAACGGTGCGTCTCGATACAGTCATACCCAATGTCGACGCTTACCTGAAAACTCAGAAATTCATCTACGGTGTTTCAAACTTGGAGTTTTTCGAGCAGTTCATCCCTGCACGTCACCTCTGTCTTGGTACGAGTCTGAATGTTCTAGATATCTTACTCCTTGACTATATCGTGGCCTTTACTCCACTTCTGATGATACTAGTCGTTGTTCTCGTGTATAAGACTGATTGCTGCTGTAAAAGAGGCAGTCATAGGAGATCTACTCTACAGAAAGGAGCTCGATGGTTAAAGACGGGAAAAGTAAAGATTAAGGATGCGGTTCTACCGGCGTTTGCGTCCTTCATTCTTCTATCCTACACAAAGTTTTGCCTCATATCTTCCTACCTGACCGTATCGCAACCACTGTACAATTCAGAGGGCCACAGTGGAGATACTAAACGTGTCTTCTATGCCGGACAATTCTGTATAACTGATGGGAAATACTTACTCTTTTATATGACACCAGCCGTTCTTGTTTTTCTGACTATTGTCGCCGTTCCCCCTCTGCTCCTATTCGACTACCCTCTGCGGATTTTCGAGAAGATCATCGGGAAAATCAACTGCTTGCAGAGGTACTATCCCAAAGCAAAGATACACGTTCTACTGGACACCTTTCAGGGCTGCTACAAAGATCGATACCGCTGGTTTGCCGGACTCTACTTCCTATTTCGACTTGCCATCAACATAAACTACACCTTTTCAGATCTCTACCAGCAGTACCTACTGCAGGGGATATTTTGCATCACTATGGCACTGCTTGTCGCCTACTTAAAACCCTACCGGAACAAGTTTCATGTTTTTAACTACGTTGACAGTCTGGTGTTTTTCAACCTAGCCGTCGTAAACCAGATCAATTTCTACACCATTGCTTTCACGAGACAAGGGAGAGATCCACCTGTTGGGGCGTTTGCAGTGCAGTACATCCTGGTGTTCCTGCCTCTGGTGTACATGGTGGCCTACGTGATGTGGAGACTCCTGCCAATTCCCCGGGTGAGGACCAGAGTCAGAGAGTGGCTGGAGAGCCGACGACAGGCTCACCAGATGGAGAATCTCATCCAGAACAGGACGGACGAGACCTCAGAGGCTCCAGACGACGACGACGTGGACTGGAAGAGAGCCAGAGCCCTCAACCGCTACAAACCTCTGAGATCTCGGGAGACACCATCGGTTACTTCAGACGGTCCTCTTCATTCCTCTGTCTCTCTGCCTACCAGTTCAACCGACACTGTCAGTGATCAAAATCCCCCCACGTTGTCGACTAACCCGGACACCTCCAGACAAGGCTATGGGAGTACAGACTCTGGAGTGACACTAGTCAATGATAGACCTGTGAAACCCATCTCATCTTTTTATTGACAGTTTGGTGTGCTGTGTATTATTATTCTTATTCGACTTGTATAATTATACAGTTGTTTTACTACAGTGGGAGAGACTATGGGAGTACTGGAAGATCCAGTGCGGACATAGTTTTAGGCAATCCTGACGTACGCAAGTGTGTGTGCTTTACCAGCCACGCCCCCCTATTAGCTAGTTTAGCTGCCCACAGTGATAGAGACTGCGCCCCAGGCCACTTCTTCCGTCTGGTACAACTTACGTACCTTCCTATGGGTCTCGGTCAACAACCGATTACACTAGTGGAGGTACCACCACCGCCACTTCAAACGTTAGTAGCGACGTAGTGCCTCGATTGTCAATTCCACAGGGGCAACCCCCCACTCAAAACTCATCGAATGAATAATTTTCGTTTGTTAAACACATTTTTTCGTCTTGTTTGTGGACTTATAAACTAATGAGTGATACAAAAGTGTCAAATATATATATACAACACAAAAAATAATAAGGAATATATAGGAGAGAGGGAAATGTTGAGAACGTAAGGGAGGGAGGGAGAGAGAGAGAGAGAGATGATTGGAGGTGAGACTATCATCAGGTGTTGCCGCCGCCAGTACAACAGTTCATTTGTCTCTTGCGGTGTTCAGAGTACATGGTGGGAAGAGACAGGGCAGCCGTATCGAGGTATGTTCTCTCCTCGTCCTCGTATCTCTCTGCCAGCTCTGCCACAAACCTGCCGACGTGAGGCGGCAAACCAGACAGTTCCTCACTAAAACTAGTCCACGAGGGCGCAACAATGTAATCTGGAGTGGTCTAAGTTTACTTGAACTTGATAATAGGCTCCCAGGCAGATTGAGAATCAGACAAATGGAATGAACACGTGGGACTTGGATCTTTACACCAATGAAATGAGAGTCTGGGAATCAGACCCCATAAGGAAACATAATGAGACCATGGGAATCAGACACATGGACTGAGAACATGAGAATCAGAACATGGGAATCAAACCCATGGGATGAGTTCATGGGAATCAGACCCATGAATGAGACCATGGGAATCAAACCATAGGAATATAATTATGGGAACGAGACCAAATAATTAGACCGCCGAGAGGGGCTAACTCACTCGAGGGCCTCCAGAATGTTGGTGCTGTCTTTGACGGAGATCTGGTACTGTCTGACGAAGGAGCACTCCCTGGCCACTTCCTGTATGGCCTCCACTGATATCAACTGTCTCTGCTTCGGGAGGTCAAACTGGAAACACAGAGAATGGGAGAATGAACGAATGGGAACCAGGCACGAGAGATGCAGTGAGACAAAGGACGCCCTGAATAAAGGACACTTTCAATGTCCCTAAAATGTCCTTTATTCAGAGGTTTCACTGTAACTGTCGCTGCTTCAGGATAGGAACAGGGGAAAGGGAAAATGGAAAAATGGGAGAATGGAACCTGTAGAACAGGAGTATGAGCGTATGGGAACTAGGAACATGTGGCTTAATAGCAAATTGATGGTGTGTAGACCAGTACTGTAGTCTCAGAGCTATGAATAACTTACATCTACCACGTTGTTTTCTACACAATGGCAAAACCGAAACTGCTTGCGTGTGAGTGTGTGTGTGTGAACGCATCACAATGACTTTAACGGAGGCAGCAAGCTGGCTGCATTCAGTTGACAGGCTAACACCGCAATGCCCTAGCCGATGTATTGACAGCGGAGACATGAAGGTGTGTTAGACCATGTGATGCCAAGAGAAAAAAGATGCGGAGCTCTGGACAGCTGTTTCGGCATGCACAGGTGAGCACATGATGATGTAATGTAGTCGCTCCTCTAATTTCGGACCATTAAACTACTGAGAAATCTACACGGAAGGATTACGCAATGCAATTGCCCCTCTAATTTGGACCATTAACACAAGGCTTCCTTCAAAACATTATAATAATATAGTCATGATGCTTTGCGTGCCTATTGCCACCAACTCCATTAAAACCGTATGCCTGAGGCTGCTTGTTGTTGTTTACTCCATTAAAACTGTATGCCTGAGGCTGTTTTTTGTTGTTTACTCCATTAAAACCGTATGCCTGAGGCTGCTTGTTGTTGTTTACTCCATTAAAACCGTATGCCTGAGGCTGTTTTTTGTTGTTTACTCCATTAAAACCGTATGCCTGAGGCTGCTTGTTGTTGCTTACTCCATTAAAACCGTATCGAATGAACAGACAGAATTGGTAAAGCAAAAAAGCTACCATAAATTTCATTTAAAAAAGGTTTACTTATTTGCGTCGAACATAAGGTGTGACTCATTAAAGAAGTGAGGTCACCTTGTTAATTAGCAGTACAGCAGGAATGGATTGTCCGTTGGGTTGAAGAACATTCTTGTCCACCAGCTGCTTCCACATCTTTGTCGATTGGAGCGTCGCTGGCTGCGTGACGTCACACATCACTATGGCAACCGCAGCTCCGCGACAAAACTGAGGCATGAGGCTGTTGAATCTCTCTTGGCCTAAACACGCCAGTAATAACAATAATCACCGAGTTTACCATAATCAACAAAGAGTTTGTTTTTTTATCCAAACAACCTCCCCCAAATATACACCTCTTGATTTCAGTATTTTTAACTACCCCATTTCCAGAACGCTGTCCAAATATAGTTCATGAGTTTACAAATCTATTACCTTGCTTTCCGGAACGCTGTTTACAAATCAACATATTTTTTGACGCTTCTTTATTTACCCCACTTTCAGCAATTATCACATTCCTCCGAATTGAAGTACGCACATGTTTTCCAAACGTACGCAGTATATACTTCTCCAAGGCACGGCCAATGTCACCACACTGCCTGTGGGGCGAGGGTCGCGATGTAATGGTGACTGTGTCGGGAGCTCTCAAAAAGCACTTTGTTTGCACCTACAGTACAATTGTGTAACTAAGAGACATCCGTATCAAAGGTATGTTTGCTAACACCTAAAAAGCAGAGATTTATGGCCAACTTTTATGTGTTGCTGCTTTGCCGACATGCAGCTACACACTATACTTGGAGCAGTGTAATATGGTGGAAACCCTCTAATCCAAACACTAATGGACGGAAGAAAGAAGGTGTCCATTTTAGTTAGTTAGATGTCCTTATTTCAAGGGGTTAAATTGAGTGCAAGGTTTGGGAAAGAAGGTGTCCATTTTAGTTAGTTAGATGTCCTTATTTCAAGGGGTTAAATTGAGTGCAAGGTTTGGGAAAGAAGGTGTCCATTTTAGTTAGTTAGATGTCCTTATTTCAAGGGGTTAAATTGAGTGCAAGGTTTGGGAAAGGAAGGGTCCATTTTAGTTAGTTAGATGTCCTTATTTCAAGGGTTAAATTGAGTGCAAGGTTTGGGAAAGAAAAGGTGTCCATATTAAAAACAGGTGTCTTCATTTCGGGGGTGTCGCCAGAGAGATTCCACTGTATATATATACTCACTATCTGATAAAGCACTGTAATAATACAGAACTGAATGCTTATACGGAGAATCGATTGTCATAGTAACAATCAGTTCAGTGGTCTTATGACCCACTTTCACAGTCTGTTAGTGAGGGGCAAAGGTGTAATGGGGACGCCTCTATATGCTAGCAATTGTTTCCACCTCGTGAATTTCGGTCACACGTGCATTGGTTTCGAATATTCACGATCGTTTGGGTGTGGAACAACCAGGTCGTAGGGTACCGCAAGGTGGTCGAAAAGTGCATCACAATTCGACACATACATACAATGGTTAACTGAGAGTACATATAATATTATACTGCGTGCATAGATAGTGGCCCATAATATATACAGTATATACCTGCAATATCCCATAGCTAATGGTCAGCATCAGGCCGTGCAGCAGGGAGAGGAAAGAATGGGAAAAGAGAGAGAATTTTTTAACGTAAGTTTCTGACATTCCACACTGTAGCTGCCAGATGTCATACAGTAACAGTATAACTACACACCTTCAATTTCACGTCATGGTTTCCTCTCCTTATTGACTTCACTCCAAATTCAACTGCAACAAAAATACGAGTGGTTTATATCTCATACAGCGGGTGATCTATCCCGCATATTACAGCACCGTGTACAGGGGGTCTATTTGTATACACGTCGCACGGTGCCCCGCGGTTCCACTTACCTCCCATAGTAGGCAGGTAGTTTGGAATAAACTTGTTTTCTGTGACTTTCGCCACAAAACACGTCTTTCCGACGTGGCCGTCGCCTATCACTATCACCTTCTTGTGACTGGCCTCGCTCATTCTACCTCCCTAGACCCGTAAAGAGTTTTTCAGCTCGTCTGTCGCTCTTCCTTCTCTTGCTGCGTCCCAAAATAGACTACTATACTGTCGCCTTTTGTCTAGTTAGCTGCGCGAACTTTTGCACTCTTGCAAAAAGAGGGTGTGGCACGACCAGGAACTCCGTATACCTTTCCGTACACTAAGGTTTTGAACTTTGGACTCTTGCAAAAAGAGGGTGTGGCACGACTTGGAGATATCCGGAACTCCGTATAAAACTATACATTGCTGCTCGGTAACAAGAAGCTAGTCGGCTATAATTAGCGAATCGTCATGTGTGAGTCGGTCTTCAAGGTGCTCGTGATAGGAGACTCGTCTGTTGGCAAGACGGCAATGGTGGCTCGCTACTGCCACAACCGGTGGCTGGCCCAATACAAAGTCACCCTAGGAGGTAATGCAAGAAGCTGCACCAAATAGACCAATCTGTATGTTGACCTATATCTATGGGCAATAAAATATTCGGTGTTTCAGTGGGCGTGTATGCGATTTGTCTTTCAGCTGACTATGCAGTGAAGACGCTCACTTGGAAGGACAGAGAAGCCGTCAGACTGCATGTATGTGGCAAACCGAGCAAGCCCCACCCTCCCTCCTCACTCCCTCCCTCCCTCCTCACTCCCCTCTCCCCCCCAGATGTGGGACCTGGCTGGACAGGACCATTTCAGGCAGATGTCTCGTACCTATTTCCGCGGGGCCTCGGGCTGCGTGGTGATGTTTGACGTCACCAACAGACAGACGTTTGAGAACGTTGCGGTCTGGAAGGCAGATCTTGACTCAAAGGTTGTCCTTCCAAGCGGGAGACCGATACCCTGCATCTTAGCTGCCAACAAGGTAATTTCTAGAGAGAGAGGGAGAGAGAGAGAGTTCCTGGCTGTAAACATAAAATTTAATATGTGGAGAAAGATTTACGAAAGTAAGCTATATACTGTATGCTGAGCACTATAATATCACCTGCAGATTGAACTGCATAGAGTTGAGACCCTACCTAAATGGAATGTCGGTTGTTCTAGACATGCTCCTAATGTTCTGACTAATTCAGTCCCATACCAATGACAATATTGTATATATATACTGCTTCAGTTTCTGAGCACCAGACATTGTCCTTAGCAACCTAGCGCCCTAATTTACACCAGCGTGTACTTAAGTAATACAAAATTAGATAGATCTAACTTTCATTAGCCAGGCCAGGACACTACTAGCACAGAAAGAACGCTGTATGTTTACGTAGGTTTATACTACAAGGCTAGGGCACTACCATTGTATTGTGTGGAGGTGTTGTGTAAGAGGATGACCTAATTTCTGTCCTCCTACTACACGTGACTGAGTTCAGTAGGTGTGTGTGTGTTCATAACCCATTCACCTCACTCTTCAGGTGTTTGACTGATTCATTGTTCTTTCCATACCATAAATATAGTCTATTTGTATAATGCAAGGTACTATCACACTCATGCATGAGCATATAGCCCATTGTTGACTTGCTCTTATGCATAGTTGACAGTCCTTTAGCTAATTTGCTGAGGTGTATAATCAATGCATAGCTAACACACTTGATACTGTTGACACCACTGATGTACGTAATTTTACAATACTGAAATGTTATACACTACTTGACACCACCGACACAAATTGATACTCCTGACATGTTTGAAACCACTGACAGCATTTGACACCAGTGGTACATTTTGACACCACTTGACTCATTTGACACCAGTGATACCACACTTGACTCATTTGACACCAGTGATACCACACTTGACTCATTTGACACCAGTGATACCACACTTGACTCATTTGACACCAGTGATACCACACTTGACTCATTTGACACCAGTGATACCACACTTGACACATTTGACGCACCCTCTCTAACCCCAGGACGATGAACAGAACCAGTGTGTGCCGTCCCACGAGCTGTCCAAGTTTGCCAAGGAACAGGGCTTTTTCAGCTTCGTCTTCATGTCCGTCAAAGAGAACAGAAATGTCACCGAAATGATGACGTAAGGCAGGAAATGATCTTTCTCTTATTCCACCTGACCTCACTGACCTACTCCATGTTTGATCTCTTTACCTATATCTTTGCTACCTTAGTTATCCCTATTCATATTACGCTAGAACAAGTGCAACCGTCACGGTACGAGAAAATACGTACAAAGTGCTACCCTTGAGCCGTTTTAATGCTATTGTGCCGTGCATGCAGTGATGCACAGACAATCACCTCATCGCACAAGTTGCCTGATAAATTGCGTGGCCTTTTATATATATACCCTGCATTTCACTATAACTAGAACAAATGTGATGAAATTTTGGCAAGCGAAGCAAGCAGTTCGATTTTTCGCATGTGTATATTATTACGGTATGTGCAGTGCCCATCACTTGCCAACTATATAGCTGCTTCTTCCCTCCCTCCCTCCACCCCTCCGCCCCTCTCTTCCTCAGTCAGCTAGTAGAGCAGATGCTGTCAGTGGAGGAGAGTCTAGGAATGGTACAACAGGCAGAGGACGTCTCCACGAGACTTATCAGAATTGAAAACAGCAAAAAATCTAGTGACTCGGAGAGCTGTGTGTGTGCCAGGTAGCCTCGTATTTTCTATTTTTAGCAGTTTTATTTTAAAGCCTAACATCTTCTTGTGTATATATAGTTCTTGTTGTAAACATGTAAATATACATGTACATGTATATATGTATGTGAATGAATAAACATCATATAGGGACACAAAATACACACAAAACGAATGCATTTCAGCTTGTATTATAGTGGACATGAGTGATCACATGACAATCACATGATGGTCACGTGACTCGCTACTGAAGTGTGCCAGTGATGTCATTTGTTGTCGTTGACTAGTTCGTTTCCATTTTGTGAGATGGGACTGGTGAGGTGGAACCACTTTAGCAGTGCCGATGGCGATCTTGACGAAGGAGATTTCACTGTAGAGAGAGGGGGGGAGGAGTGTGGGGAGCAAGTAGATTGTCGGAAAAAGCGGGAGAAGAGAAAATAAGTTGCACATAAAGAAGATAAGAGCAGTAGTAGAACATTAAGTTGGACAAAAGGTCACATAAGGGATTGGGCATGTAAAACAGATAGAGCAACTCACTAGTAGAACATAGAACATTAATAGTGAGAGGGATGGTAAAGCAGATAGAGCAACTCACTAGTACTAGCTGGTATTAGTAAGATAGGAAAAAGAAGGCCACATGAGGGATAAGGGCATGTAAAGCAGCTCACTAGTACTAGCTGGTATTAGTAAGATAGGAAAAAGAAGGCCACACGAGGGATAAGTGCATGAGAGGGATGGTAAAACAGATAGAGCAACTCACTAGTACTAGCTGGTATTAGTAAGATAGGAAAAAGAAGGCCACATGAGGGATAAGTGCATGAGAGGGATGGTAAAGCAGAGATAGGAACCCACTAGCGGTATCGGGAGCAGGGCTGGCAGAGAGGTTGGACCAAGATCGGCGGACTTCATCGTCAGTGGACGAACTCTTCTTCTTGAGCCTCTTGTGAGATTTGGTCATTGGACTGGTGGACATGTCGATGTCTCCATCCATGAAGTGAGCACTCATCGGGCGACTGTTGCCTTTGTCTACTGAGGGAGGGAGGGAGGGAGCAAAGAAAAGAGAGGGGGGGATACTCAGATTGCTTTTGACGCTTATTACAAAGCCAATATAAGAGGCTCTGGACACTTATGTGTCTGTGGCTGCTGACTGGTTGAGTGGGTGGAGAGGTGAAACTGGGGTGACGCACATCATCCATTAGTATTGCACAGACATAATTATTCTGATATGCTCACAATATGGGTGTAGTATGAGGTAACATATGTACATTGAATATACCAGTGAAATAAAGAGTCTGTTTCCTGTTCCTCTGAACAGTTCCCGGCTTTCTCTGGAGAATGTCGGCCACTTCCATGTGACCTTTGACCTCCGCTACCGCCAGTGGTGTCATGTGCTCCTTAAAGAAAAATTTACGCAAAAAGGGTGTGTCAATGACAAAAAAGTTTAGTGGCAGTATAAGGGTTAAATTAATATGCTGTTTAGTGCCATCTTTAGTAACGTTTCTAAATTTAGCCCTAATGACATTTCCTCTAGAACTCTAGAACGAATGGCACATTCAGGAAGTGCGTGCCCAAATCGCGTATATATATAATTATGCTCATGGTAGTTTACAGACCACAGACAAACGAAGCCTTGCTACATGAATATGTCTCAACAACTTGGAGAAAGGCAAACAAGTCAACTATGTACACCCAGGACAAGCTCTTTGAAAAGAAGAAGAGCTGCCCTGGGTGGGATTCGAACCCACGACACTGTGCAGGCGAGCGCTCTACCAAATGAGCTACCAGGGCAAGCACATTGTTCAGGAGTAAGGAGGGACAGAGTACGAGAGAGGGGAGGAGGAGTAAGGAGGGACAAGAGAGGGGAGGAGGAGTAAGGAGGGACAGAGAGGGAGGAGAGAGTGAGGGAGGAGGATAAGGAGGGACAAGAGAGGGGAGGAGGAGTAAGGAGGGACAAGAGTAGGGGAGGAGTAGGACAGAGAGGGGAGGAGGAGTAGCAAGGAGGGGAGGAGAGTAGGGGACAAGAGAGGGGAGGAGGAGTAAGGAGGGAAGGAGGGGACGAGAGTAGGAGGGACAAGAGAGGGGTAGAGTAGGAGGACAGGAGGGGAGGAGGAGTAAGGAGGGACAAGAGAGGGGAGGAGGAGTAAGGAGGGACAAGAGAGGGGAGGAGGAGTAAGGAGGGACAAGAGAGGGGAGGAGAGTAAGGAGGGACAAGAGAGGGGAGGAGAGTAAGGAGGGACAAGAGAGGGGAGGAGGAGTAAGGAAGGACAAGAGAGGGGAGGAGGAGTAGGAAGACAGAGAGGGAGGAGGAGTAAGGAGGGACAAGAGAGGGGAGGAGGAGTAAGGAAGGACAAGAGAGGGGAGGAGGAGTAAGGAGGGACAAGAGAGGGGAGGAGGAGTAAGGAGGGACAAGAGAGGGGAGGAGGAGTAAGGAGGGACAAGAGAGTGGAGGGAAAGAAAAGACTAACTTTGTTCTCGAGGGTTTCGTTAGCTCCTCTCTCCAGTAGCGATATCACCACCTCCCCCCAGTTCATCTCGGAGGCAATGTGGAGGCAGGTATTACCGTCGTTGTCCCGGTCGTCCACCCCTCCGATATCGCAGAGGAGAATACCTCCACAACCCAGGGGTGGCCCGCCCTCGCCGCCAGGTGGAGCGGAGTCTGGCCGTTCTGAGGAACGGAATCGGGTACTGAAACAGGGGCGTGGTTGGGGAGGAGTGAGGTGTATGTACAGTCTGAAAATGGACCTTTCGAATGATGGACATCCATCTACAACGGACTGCAAGTTCTTCCTCTTACAATACATTACGTACCTCTGAAAAGGGATACCTCTTAGAAGGACAGCAATGTCCTCAAGGTACAGGTGCTCCTTATTTGGAGGTTTCACCGTATAAAAAGGGGGTGTGGCAGCTAGGTGAGAGGGCGTGGTAAATACCTTGTCTTGTGCTCTGAGTGACGACTTGGTTTTTAGGAGATTTTGAATGACCGTTTTGATGTCCCTCTAGAGATCGAAACAGAGAGGAGAGATCAAAACAGAGAGGGAGAGAGAGAAACAGAGAGGAGAGAGAGAAACAGAGAGGAGAGAGAGAAACAGAGAGGAGAGATTGAAACAGAGAGGAGAGAGAGAAACAGAGAGGGAGAGAGAGAAACAGAGAGGAGAGAGAGAAACAGAGAGGAGAGAGAGAAACAGAGAGGAGAGAGAGAAACAGAGAGGAGAGAGAGAGAGAAACAGAGAGGGAGAGATTGAAACAGAGAGGGAGAGAGAGAGAAACAGAGAGAGGAGAGAAGAAAACAGAGAGGGAGAGAGGAGAAACAGAGAGGAGAGAGAGAAAACAGAGAGGAGAGAGAGAAACAGAGAGGAGGAGAAGAGAATCAGAGAGGAGAGAGAGAAACAGAGAGGAGAGAGAGAAACAGAGAGGAGAGGGAGAGAGAGAAACAGAGAGGAGAGAGAGAAACAGAGAGGAGAGAGAGAAACAGAGAGGAGAGATTGAAACAGAGAGGAGAGAGAGAAAAAATACAGCTTCTTGCGGTGCTGATTTTTCAATGCTTTACAAGAACACAAAGAAATGGCAAGGTCCTCTTTACTTTCCCTTATTATGCCATGTTATACGGAGAAAGGTAGCGAGCAAGAGGGATAAAGCAAAAACAGGGGAAAAGGGAATAATAAATAAGTCCATTGTACTCAGTGGGTTGCTAGGCACACACACACACACACACACACACACACCATGTCTTGAGAGATGTGCTTGCCGGGAGCAATCTTCCCGGCTGCTTCACACGCCAGATGAAGTGGAGTCTTTCCATACTGTGCCACGAGAGAGAGAGGGAGAGAGGGGGAGAGGGAGAGAGAGAGAGAGAGACATGTTTTTTTACCTCTGCTCTCACTTCCTCCCCGCTACCTTCCCTCTCCCTAACCCTTAGCAAGCCATGGGCATACATATATATTATATACATATATCCCAGAGCCTCCATAAGTCCATAAGAATTTATATATGGCTATAGTACTAGGCGTTAATAATATACCAATTTATGCTTATTTAAGGAGATACTGTACCTCATGGCATCCAAAGGGTTCTAATTGGCAATTGGAGCCTACCTAATTACCTAATTACTTAATTGTCAATTATGTGATGGGTACAGCACATACCATAATGTTCAACGTGCTCCTAAATATGCGTGAGAAAATTGGAACTGTTCGCTTGCCAAAAGGCACTATAAAAGACACTTCATTCTCTACTAGTAACTAATTGGGGCAGAATCGTACACGCAAAAGTAGCACATAATACAGCTAACGTTTTATCGTGTCTAAGTGGCATATGCATACATAGCTCCCTAACCCTTAGCAAGCCACGTAGCTCCGTAGCTCACAGAGAAATAGATAAACCGCTATTGTTGCAGTGACTCTAGCTCTCCAGACAGCATACCTTGTCCTGAATGTTGATGAGTTGGTCAGCTCCGGTGTGGATGAGGAACTGGAGGCTGTTGTTATCTCCCCTCATGCTCACCAGATGGAGGGCATTCCTACCGTCCTGTGTGTGTGCAGAGAACCAGTCATACAGGTTATGGCAACCGGTTTAACTTGTAATGGACAACGCAAGAAACCAGTCAGAAACCCGAAAAAGGGGTCAACCCAACCTATTCCACAAAACAAACTCCTGAAACAAGCCAAACTGGTTAACAAACCAGAAAAAGCAGTGGATGTAAACAGGTTTGACGGGACAAACCTGTTGAGTGAGAGCAGTTTTACTAGCTCCACAAGTGATGAGATGTTGGACGGCTCTCCAGTGACCTTTGACACAGGCGTAGTGCAGAGGATACATTCCCTGTGTCGTAGTACATACGTACATGTATACACATGGAGATAGAACTTGAAAACAGTGCCATTGAGATCAGTTGGGGAATTTTTGCCTGTTATGGCCTCCGAAACTTTTTTGCATGCACTCATGTTTTTAACTGAGTCTCACTCAAGTGCTGTATGTAGAAGATTTTGATGGAATAAAGAGTCTTTATTCAGTAAATATTCAGTGTGAAGAAAGCATCTGCTGGGGTTGCCTCTTTTAAACCTTCTCAAGCCCCCAAACATTTCTACAATACTCAGTCAGTAAATTGTAGGCTCACGTTGTGAAGAAAGTGACTCAGTCAGTATATAGTACAAATATGTGTTAAGAAGTGGTTCTTAAAACCTTCTCAAGCCCCTCAAAGATTTCTAGCCAGTAGTGCATAATTGTACGTAGGCTCACGTTGTGAAGGAAGTTGACAGGAACTTGTCTGTTGGTGAAGGACTGGAGAAGGGACGTGGGGTCAGAGGTCGAGTCCAACACTGCCACTAGAGCTTTCTTGGCCAGCTGGCGGGGAGAGAGAGAGAGACAGACAGACAGTGGTTAGGATTGGAAGGGTGAGAGGGAGAGAGGGGTTAGTACGTAAGTGTCTGCCACAAGTAACCATTATGCCCTCAGATGTCGCGCGGACTAGCAACATACTACATATGTATGTACATTCTAGGCATGCCTATTGATTTAGCTCAGAGGAGTTGTCAATTACAAAAGGGGCGACAACCATTATTTCATGATATCCCCAGAGACAAACTCTTCCATGATTGAGACAAAGCACAGGGACTTTGCCAATCAGGATTTAGAGTAGACAAGACAAAAAGTTCTGTTTGCACATGCAGCAATTCTTGCCCGTCACAATTTCTGCATTCAGACGACTAGCCGTGCTTACTTCGCTCACCAATAATGCCAGGAGAATAATACGCATACAGTATTTTTTCTCCCTCCCTCCTCTCACTCACCCTACTGGAGTTCCCGTGTTCCTCCAGAAACCTATCGACGGCAGCGTCTGCCACGCCTTCCTCTGTCTCTCTACAATGTCCCAACAGCCTCCTCACTATCTCCCCTGTGTGACAAACCATTATGTAAGTAGCATTCTAGATTACCAGATTACATCATAATGAGGTAACTGTGTCCTTAGCATACATTCTAGATTACCAGATTACATCATAATGAGGTAACTGTGTCCTTAGCATACAGTTTTATAGTTGGAACCTCCGGTGTACTACGATAGCTGCTCTAGTTTACCTCCTGCCATACAAAATACAACAAGACGTGAACAAAAAACTGTGGATATATAATTATAGTAATAGTATATATTAGTGAGTTAACCCTTTGATTGTGTGGCCCCATGGACAATGTGAATGTTGTTATGCAATCAATGCTGTAGCTAATTGTGCATGACCCACCAAAAATTCAGTCAGTATATACATTTCTAGTGCACTTGTCTGACTCGAATTGTTTCGAATTCTGTTCTAATTATAATTGAAAATGTTTCGAAATTACCGTCTTCTAAGACAGAGAGGGAGGCAGACTGGGAGAAGACGGTGCAGCCCTTGTACTCCACTCTGCAACGATATCGTCCCTCTTGCTCCTTGTCCACATGGAGTAGCTGCAGGTTGGCTGTCGTCGCCCCCTCCACCCTCCCCTCTTTCTCCCTCACCTCCTCCCACCTCCCCCCGCCTCCCACCGTCTCACCACCACCACTGTCCGAGGAGGAAGGGGCGGGGCTTAGCGTTGCCACGGGACTGACAGGGAAACTTGCCTCAATGACCTGAAACACCATTGAGAAAAGTGAAATTCATGTCAGCAGTTTCAAAAACAGGGGAAACCATGACGAACGAGATATATAATATATATAATAATTATAGTAGCTCCGCCACGCGATTCACAAAAGTTGTTTTCTCTTTCAAAAAGCCAGTCAAAATCACCCACTTAAAAAGTCTGATACCAGACCCTTTTCCCCTGCTGGGGGCGGAGTCGGGGACAGAGACCACACCCACCTCTGATCCTCTCCTCATACTTTCCGCCATTGCAGTCTGCAGTTTCCCCGCCAACTCGGCGTGGGCCAAATGATCGTTGGCTTCGTTCAGACAAATGACAAACTTCTCCAAGAAATCGACTGTGGAGCGAGGAAGCCAGCTCAAGAGGAGGTCGACCTTCCGCGTGTTGGTGAGGACCGGGAGGGTGAGCTCCTCTAATTGGTCGGAGGTGACGAGGGAGTGTCGGGAGAGGTAAGGCAGAATGGACGAGGTGTTGAGGTACTGTCGGAGGTCCGGATGGTGCTGCCGGAATATCCTCTGGTGAGGCGTTTCAGGCCCGGGGCTCTCGCTCCCATTCTCTCCACTGTTGACTGCAGAGGAGGTGTGGGTAAGGGGTTAAAATACACAGGCATGGACTGTAATTGTAAGGGAACAAGGACGATATATATTGACAGCGTTGGCTCTAAGAAAGGGTTATGATGTTTACTCCACTGCATGGGCTGTAGTCAAAGGGTTAAAATACATAGAGCGTTGACTACATGAGCTGTAAGGTAAGGGTTAAATGCGCAAGATTCTCAGGGGAAAATACGCCACAAATGGTGTAGACGCATTTGCTGCTACACTAAACCTATAGTTTGTATATATTACACAGTGCACAGTGCAGAAGAAAGGCATTTATTCCTAATTAAAGCCACTTTCAAGCTAATGAAGCAGTGTAATCATGTACCTACAGAAGATCACCTGGTTTTTAGAGGACAAGCGATGGTAGAGAAAGGACTCACCTATATCCTCGTTCATTGCAGCCGGCAACTGGGAATTGGTCTTCAAGACTTCCCACATTATCTGCAGGTCCTCCCGTGTTCCCGAACCCACCCTCTCCCTCCCTCCTCCTCCCTCCTCTCCCTCTCCTCCGCTCCTCACCTCCTCACCGGCAGCGCTCACCACATTCACACTGAACGTGGCCGAAGTGCCTGTCACAACATCCACTACATCTCTAGGGTGGGCTTCAATTTGTGGCGGGCTCACTACACGACGACAGGAAACAGGGAGAAGGAAATGTTTATATACAATGAGATCTATATTATAGCCACATGAGCTCAAACAATATGGATTCATCACTATGTACCATAGTCTATATGTATCACTAGTAGTATATACCTACAGTATAAGAGTTGTCGTGGTATTATACACCTATAATGTAGTATCATAGAAAGGGCTTGTACTTTGTAGGGGGAGGCTATGTGGCTTACCAACAAAGCAAGAGAGTGTTTATAAACAGTGTGCGTGGGAGGTGGGTAGCTGTCTGTGCAAACACCTGAGCTGAAATAACTGAGCTGCCGATCTCAGTAAAGAGTGTTCTTTCCGCCCGATAAATGGGGCTGTGGTGCATTTCTTTGGAAAAGACTCTGCTTATAGAGATTTGTGTAGGTTAACTGTCAGTTGATCGGAGGGTAAACAAAACTTGAAATTTTGGATTGTTTGCTCTGCTAACTCACTCATGATGAGTCTGGACGAGTGGTTTTCTATACTCCACTAGATTTTAGCACACCAAACTCACTACAAAAACTTTCACTACATCTGATCTTACAACGTACGCTCATACTCTACTTTTTAAGGTGTGGACCCCATATTATTTTGGAAAGTGTGGATCGATTTACCGCATAATTATTGTAGGGCTCTTAATTAATCAGTATTTGCTGTTGCCAAACATTTTGCAGGTGACTTACTTTTAACAAATACTAATCACATGAGTCCTTTTATGCCCTAATATCTGCAATGAAAAGCACTGAAGTGCAAACCCTCGGCGCACTGTTACGCGCACGCGTATGTAAACACATGCGCCGTACAACTAATTGATGGGCTGGGTTTAGTTTTAGCTGTCACTCGTGGTCTCTTCCCAGCTCGCGCAGAGTCTGCCGCGGGTTAACTACACTACTAGGTAGCATGTGAGAGGCGATACACGCCCTGCGTTGCATCTTCTGGTGCGTGCGAGGTACGCAGAGCACGCGGATCGATCAGACCGTGGTAAGCCGTCCCGTCCGTTGTGTATTTGCATATTGGCTTTTTCGCGCTCTAGCTTTGCAACGGAGCAGTTTCAGAGAAAACCGTTCGAAATTTCTGACCTTCATTGCCCGTTAAGTAGGTCGTATCCTTTGTGAGACGAACAAACACCCGAGAAGTGAGATTGAGAGTAACAGACAGACACACACACACACTGACAGACCCAAGTACTGTAACCCTCGCTGCGCATGCGCGCCGAGGGTTAATAACACATTAATGGTAGAAGTCCCTATAGTATCACCTTCACCTGCCGCCTATTGTCATATTGGACCCTATATGGCAAGTGCGTTGTTAACATTCCGTGTATTTCCTGTCCTGACGTCCACTACATCTCTAGGGTGGGCTTCAATTTGTGGCTGGCTGGCTCACTACATTAGCCCACACTGCACTATGCAATACAAACTAGGTTTCTTACAACAGCAAGTGCGTCTACACCACTTTGTAGCGTTAACCCCTTCCAATCCTCCCCTGATTACACTTGGATTTCCCAAAAATAAGTGACACGTCCATTATTGGTATGCTGAAAATTTCACATCCATTTTTGGGCATGCTGGACGTGTGACATAGCTATTAGGGTGACATCACAATGTCCATTACATCATCAAAAGGTGCTCAAATATGGAAGTATTACGTAACAAAAGCCAGGGGGACTGTCTAAGACAGCTAATAAGTAGAGATGATGTAATGGACGAAATGAAAGGCAGGAAACACAAGGCATGTTAACAACACACTTGCCATATAGGGTCCAATATGACAATAGGCGGCAGGTGAAGGTGATACTATAGGGACTTCTACCATTAATGTGTTATTGCAGATTTTTGGGCATAAAAGGACTCATGTGATTAGAAGTAAGTCACCTGCAAAATGTTTGGCAACAGCAAATACTGATTAATTAAGAGCCCTACAATAATTATGCGGTAAATCGATTCACACTTTCCAAAATAATATGGGGTCCACACCTAAAAAAGTAGAGTGTGAGCATACGTTGTAAGATAAGATGTAGTGAAAGTTTTTGTAGTGAGTTTGGTGTGCTAAAATCTAGTGGAGTATAGAAAACCACTCTTCCAGACTCCTCATGAGTTAGCAAACAGTTTCTAAATGATGCTCACTGTCCCTCCTACTTGAGCAGTAGCAGATCAGGTAGCTTGCCTACCACAGCATTTTTACTACTTCAGGTCTTCTGCTAGCAGTGTCTATAGTTTCACATCTACTGGGCGTCTATCTTATCATCATTAGGCTGGCATATTCTCCAGAGCTGTTCATAAAGATTGATGGGATTTCCAGCATTGCCATCAGAAATTTAACCCCAACCCCATGCCCTATACTGTGCTAAAAACAGTGATATAAAAAAGACTGTGGGTCCAAGCCTATTACAGAATGAAGCATGTATATATACAACAGCAACCATGACGCAAAAACCTTTTAAATAATTGGCATAGCCGTTTTATAATGCAATAAAGCCCTTTGCCAAAACCCTGTTACATGCCTGAGATATTTGAATAGACATGGTCAATATAATAATTATCATGCAGTATACAACACATTGCCACAAACCCGAGCCCTTATACTGTAGGTCCATATGCTTGCTTGTCAAAGAGCAAACTTCTTTCACACACTTGGAGACAAAGAGAGAGCGAGAGTGCGACTAACCGATGGTGATGGTAGCAGGTCTGGAGAGAGTGGTGCCTGAGCTGTTGGTAATCTGACATCGATAGCTGCCTCTGTCACTCTGTCTCACTTCACTCAGCAGCAGAGTCGACGAGTTGATCCCTGTTATTCTGTCCTTCTTTCAGAGAAAGAGAAGGAAGACGAGGGAGGGAGAGATGTACACAGCTAAGGTTTAAATTTCGGTATTACTTTAGTGCACACAACTAAGGCAGTAATACTGAGCGTACCATCACAGCTAAGGTCATACCTGTACCAACCTGCAGATGAACCTTTGCTTGAGAAATGTGTCAAATTTGCTTGATTTGGAGTATTTTTGCTTGAAAATGCTGCGTGTCCATTCAAAATGTATAGGCATGATGCATCACAGGTTAGCACAAATAAGAGGGATTTGGCGATTTTTTGGAGGGATAGGCAGTATTTTTGCTTGCAAAAAGCGGGATGGTTGGTAAACACTAGTGTAGCATACTGCACACCAGTTGGTCCTCCATTGAGAGTGATAGAGAAGGGAGCTACCAGTAAACCCTATAACGTGTAATTGGCGGACGGGAGCAAGCCAGCCTAGTGGTGACCACAGGCCAATATTGGGTCCCTCCCGCTCACCAAAACACCTTCTGGTATATTTTGCACACCATATCATGTGTGCTGCACAGTAGAACTACTCACACACAGCCAACTACCTGTACTGCATCACAGTATATACTAGCTATAGAACTACTCACACACAGCCAACTACCTGTTCTGCATCACAGTATATATATACTAGCTATAGAACAAGTTGTCACCTATACATAATTATACATAGAACACAACCTACCCCTCCAGATTCCACGGGAGACCATGAATTTCGGGCGGTAGTGTCGGTTTTGGTGACGGCGAACGGGCAGTGGTGCCACTGGAACTGCATTTGCTCGGACAGCGACTGCTTGGGGTCCGTGAGGACCAGGAGACAAACGGAGGAGCCCGGCACGGCATCGTACACGCTCTGCGGCTGGCCCGTTATCTTGGGCGGAGAGGAGCCTGCGGCGTTTGTTTTGAGGGAATGAAAAGGGAGAGAGAAGAGAAATTGAGAAAGGCGTTATCAATCTAGGACCTTTTGTTTTAGCTATGGAGCTAGGAGCAAAATGTCATGTAGCACGCTAGCTTGCTTACGCGATCCTCCACGCAGAAATTTCCTTAGCATCGCTGCAGCGTGCAGCCTCCGCTCATCAATCACTTCTGCTGGTCCAGAAAAACTATCCTCACTTCCAAACAGCTGGGCTTTGTCGTGGAATCCCGGAAAACGACTGTAGCTAAATACGTAGCTACCGACCCCACCTGCCTGCCTTCTTCCGCGAGAGCTAGAGCGATATCCGGCGATCTTTTTCGCCGCGCATGCGCACGATTACAGGAAGTTGAGTTCTAATTACGCGACGTAAACAGGAAGTGGAATTCTAATTACGCGACACAGCTACTAATAAGGGCTCCTAGGCTCGGAGTCTCTCGATAATGGCTTCCAGCTTTGTCTTGTCATACACCTGGTACTTTCCACCCTCCAATACAGATGCCATCTGAATACACATTCACACACAGTGGAGAAAACAGAGCACCAAGTAAATAGATTCACTCCTGCAATGTCCCATATCCCACTCAATATCTATATGTAAGTCTAGCAATAGACACCAGGACTTCTAAATTTGGACACAACATAATGCACAGAAAAACTGGTCAGCGTGCTACATATAAATACAGCACCCAAAACGCCGGGCAACAGAATGCAATGAGAAAGGACAGCACCTCAATGTTGGTGGCCGTGAGCTTTTCCTCCATGACCTCTTTGAGAATGGTGAGCAGTTTCTCTTCCGCCTCTTTGGTGGTTATTCCCTGCAATTAGGGACTGAATATTACCTTCAAATGCCAGTGAAGTGGAGGTTATTGGTCAGATAAACCCCCAAAAATTTCAGGAAAAAGTTGTAAGAAAAGGCAAAAGGCACCATAAATATGAACCAGTCATTCTAAAAAGGGACAGAAGAACATCTTGAGACACTTATATATATAGTGTACCTGGTACATACAAAGTGAACCTTTTTGGGCATTCTTTTTAGCTACAGTGCATGGCACATGTTGCTTCATACAAACCTTGTAGAAGACTTCCTTGAGGGAGGTCTGAGCTCCTTCTGAGCCAGCTCCAATGGCCTTAGCCTCATACTCAGTGTAGGTCCCTGATGGATCCAGGTGAAAGCTTGAGAGAGAGAGAGAGAGAGAGAGGGAAGTAGGGGGGCAAAAGTCACCAGAGAGATATTAGGGGTTCGTACATAGAAGATTTGACTAACAGATGAGGTCCGTCTTCGTCAATGCCTCCAATGAGTAGAGCTGTTCCAAATGGTCGGCTCTTTAGAGGAACAAAAATACAATTTTAAGAACCTCGCACGGATAATCATCAAAATAATGCCCAACAGTAAAAAAAACAGCAGTATGGAAAAGGTTTTGCGGACATACTGTTAAAAGTAGAAAAGAGTTTTGTGGACCCATATTTGAGCAACTATTTCGTGTTGGGACAGTTACAGTACTATCATAGTGAAGAAAGTGCAACTACTCTCACCATAGCTTTTTCCTCCTTGTTCCTCCGCTCCTTCCCAAAGGCCATGGCCAGGTTACTGACGGACTGTGTGACACTCTCTACTGACATTGGCTCGTTGTACATGAACCAGTGGCTCTGGGCCTCGACTCTGGCTCTGTCCACCATGGTCCGGGAGTCAGCTATCAGTCCACTCATCGCACATCCTGCAGGGAGACATGTGTGTGTGAATAACAGCACATCATTAGAGGGAACGTGGCAGTATAAAAGGGCTCAATTAAAAAAGACCTTTACTAAAACGTAAGTTACACTGGGACCTATGCATAGTTCTCTCTCTAGTAACACATCTTCTCTACTACCCCAATCACTTTAACTGAAACGCCATACAGTATACTGCAACTTTTACGCTGTGTGCATAATTTCTACTTGCTACAGTCATCGATATGTTGGTAGACTAGTATGGGACAAAACTAAGTGTCCTTTATATAGAGGGGTCCTTTATTCGGAGGGTCCGTTTTTTGGACGTTTCACCGTACCAATGTGGCTGTCAATCTCCAAGATCTTCTCGATGCTCGATGGCTCCATGAGTGAAGATGTGACTCTCTTCTCCACGGCCAGCAACACTCCTTCAGCTGTCCTGATACCTACCGCAGTGGAACCCAGCTGGGGAGAGATGGAGGGAGGGGAGTGAGAGGAGGGAGGGGAGGGAGGGGAGAGATGGAGGGAGGGGAGTGAGAGGCAAAGAACGTAAGAGGAAAAAAGGAAGAAGATAAAGGAGAGCGAAAATGTGTATACTAGTGCGTCTCTAAGTATATGGTGTAAGAAAGCACAGTTGATAGTATAGAAACGGACCTTGATAGCCTCAATAGCATACTCCACTTGGAAGATTCTTCCCTCGGGGGAAAACGTGTTCACCCCTCTTTAGGAGAGACAATGCAGCGTTCATATATACCACACAGTTGCCAAGGAGTTTCGGCGTACCTATCGTATTCGGAGCGTGTCAGAAACATTTTCGAAGGTCTGCAACGGACGATAGAGAAGCTTTCTTGCTGCTGCTCAGCAACACTGATGCTTTTTGCCTCGTGGGTCCACGCAGCAAAATCTAAGAGACCTTTGAACCCCGCGCGCTCTCAGATACGTTACGTTTGCTTTGCGCGTCCCGAAACTCCGCCTCATATTTATCTCGGGGTCAAAGGTTAACTCTCTGCAACCTGCAACAAAATGGCGTCGTCTCTGACCCGCTTTGGTCGCGCTCTCTGCGCCAACGCCTGGAAGGTAAGTGTTCAAAACGCATAGCTAACGTAGCTAGCTCTCCTCTACGCGAGTGTATTCACCGTTTTTCTCCCACCAGTCGCGTGCAGCTGTTGCAAGAACCGCTTCGGCTGCTGCTGCTACTAGAGCGGCGAACTCCTACCAGCAAGTAAGACCCTCTTCTCTTAGTTCCAGGCCGTGTATAAACGCCTTCGTTCATCTCCTGTCACTACAGTCTCTGTTGAACGTGCCAGATACCAAGGTGACTGTTCTGAACAATGGACTGAGAGTAGCTTCAGAAGACAGTGGAGGAAGTACATGCACCGTGAGTATAGGGGAGGAAGAGAGTGCGTTTTATATATTCTTCCCTTGTCTCCCTTCTCTCCTTCTCTTATTCTCTTTCCCCTCCTTCCTTCTTTCCTTTGTCTCCCTCCCATCTTTCCTTACCACTCTCTTCTCCCTCCCTCCTTATTTTACTCTCTCTCTCTCTCTCCCAACCTCCCTCTCTCTCTCAAGGTTGGACTGTGGATCGACTCGGGAAGCAGGTATGAAACAGAGGCTAACAATGGAGTTGCTCACTACCTCGAGCACATGGCCTTCAAAGGCACCAAAAACCGCTCACAGGTCAGAATGGGTTCAGTACATATTGTTAGAAAACCAGTTTATAAGAAATCCTCATTGGTTTGTGAAGTGGAATGTATTTTTAAAAGTGTTGTGTTAGACAAAAGGTTTGTGTGTCAAATGCTTCTATATACTCTTTCATTTAATCCACGATATTCTTGTCGGAAGGGGTTTTAGTTCGATAATCGTTGCAACAAACAATTTTGACAAAGAAATGCTACTGACTGTATATATCATACAGATTCAGTTGGAACTGGAGGTGGAGAACATGGGAGCTCACTTGAATGCCTATACCTCTCGAGAGCAGACAGTCTACTATGCCAAGAGCTTCTCCAGCGACCTGGGGAAAGGTAGGTCTGTTCATCCACACACACACACACACACACACACGCACACGCACACGCACACTGTGTCATGGCATATTGTATGTAATGGTCCATTGAGAGTTGAATGGTGTGTATACATGTACATTGTACAGTGTTCTTATGAGTGTAGTGTTTTTGCTAGACACTCAATAAAGAGGTAGGCTGTCAATCGGCCTCCAGGTGACTTTTTCTCAATGGAAGCCGATTGGCCGAATAGTGCACTGACCCTGCCTGAATGCCACTTCCAACAATGGAATGTATGTGTGTAATCTTGGTCCCTCTCACCTCTCACTTCGTACCCGTGCAGCTGTGGATATATTGGCGGACATTATTCAGAACCCTACTCTGGGGAAGGCCGAGATTGAGAGAGAACGCAGCGTCATTCTCAGAGAAATGGAGGTAACTCATATTAGGCACGAGGAGGATCTCCTGTTGTTGCATATACAGTATAAAGCATACAGCATACGTTTAAGGCATGAAAATATTTCGTGCAACTGTGGTTCTTTATAATGCGAATTGAGTGTGGAGGCTTTTTTGCACACAGTCCAGAAATCTGATTCCACCGACTTTGTTTTGGTCAAATGTTTTTCCCCGATTTCTTAACCTCTACCTTCTTTCCTCCTCTCTCCCCACCTTTCCATGCTTCCTCCTTCTCCTCCTCCTTACTTCTCCCCTCCCCCTCCTCTTCCTCAACCCACCAGGAAGTGGAGCAGCAGGTGGAGGAAGTGATATTTGACCATCTCCATTCCCTGGCCTATCAGGGCACCCCTCTTGGGATGACCATTCTGGGACCCACTGCCAATATCAAGAGAATCAACAGAGACCACCTCAGTAGCTATATAGCCTCTCATTACACAGCTCCTCGCATCGTACTCGCCGCTGCTGGAGGTGAAATGCCGTGTCTTGGTGTTCATAGTGTGTTAACCATTTAGTCATAAGCTGGAATAATTAAACTTTTTTGGATTTATGCATGGGACTCTGTGTGTGTGTGTGTGCTATTGGTTAAAGATGCTAAGACGCAGTCAGTATGCAACGTGTGATGATTTTGAATGTACCGTAAATTACCTACACTCCTATATAGCACCTTTTACATTTGTGCAAAAAGTTAAGTATAGTGCCAATTTTGAGGCTCTTTCTCATGTCTGTAGAGATCACTAGGCCAAAAAGTTCGTTTTTGTGAAGGTAAAAGCTAAGATTTATGATTTAACCCCACTGTCTCCAGGAGTGAACCACGACGAGCTGGTCGGACTGGCCGAGAGGTGTTTCTCTGGACTACCGACGACCTATGACCTCCCCAGTCTAGAGCCCTGCAGGTTCTCAGGGAGTATGATGACTGTCAGAGACGACACCATGCCTTTTGCTCACCTCGCTTTTGCCGTGGAGGTGAGCAGGCTTTACCTAACTCTCTCCCTCATCACTTACTAACTCCCTTACTCTCTTTACCTCCTCTTCTCTTCTTCCCATTTCTACTTCTATATTCCCCTTCCTCCCCCATCCAAAAAAATGAGAGTTCTCCCATTTTCTCCACACAGGGATGTGGATGGTCGAATCCTGACTACATTCCTCTGATGATAGCCGGAGCTGTAAGTCATCACTATGTGCACACGGACACAGGGCGTTGGACCCTTTTTTCATGGTTTAGCCTTTTTGATGATTATTTTCATGGACACTATTTTGTCCCTCCCCCCACCCTCGGATCAATTTCTAAGTCTTGTTGTAGGTGCATAGTCAGTGACACCTGAGCAACATTGTACAGAGCACTGACTACACATGCGCTGATGAATAGTGCAAAAAAGCTTGAGACCCAGAGTGTATGCATAATATGCATGGATGACGTATACTAAGTCATAAAGTGTGATTTATTGTGGTGTGTGTCGTGCAGATTATAGGAAACTATGACAGGACGGTGGGTGGAGGACAGAACATGGCCAGTAAACTAGCCCAGGTACGCGCCTCTTACTCACCATACTGTATACAATAATACACAAGCAGGCTATGATAATATACAGTGGAACCCTCTCTAGGGACACCCCTGAAATGGAGACACTTCTTTTGGGCCCCTTTTGTTCCCGAGACAGCCTTCTTGCTCAATAAGATCACCTCATTAACAAGGACACTTTCTTCTGTCCCATTGGTGTCTGTATTAGAGCGGTCCCACTCTTCTTTTTTAGCGAGATAGAATGAAGGTTTACTGCTCCATTCTGTTCATTCGTTAGAACATTGTGGCTCATTCCGGTACCAACCCATCGGAGGTCCACAGTTTCATGTCCTTCAACACCTGCTACACAGACACTGGACTCTGGTGAGCTCACCAGCACTCTCCTATTTTTAGTAACACGTGACATCAACTGAGGTCTATGAATAGTAACAGTCTATTTTTAGTAACAGGAAAGAGTCTCCAATAGTAAGGGGGAAATGAGGGTGTAGTTGATTAGTGCTTTGTCTATGGCATGGTAAGGTTGGGTGGACAGTGTGCAATATTGGTGGTGGGTCATTCCGTGAGCAACTGTGTGGTATAAATCCTTGGTTGGTTGATATTCATGAGTTTCATTTCCCTCGCCGGTGTCCTATGGCGTGAGATTCTGCATGTGAGCATATGGTGCCTCGACAGACATTGCAAGATTGGCTAGTTTCACATGTATCTTGTTTCCTCCCTCCCTCCCTTTTCTCTTTCTCTCCCTCTCTTTCTCCTCTCTATCCCCCCTCTCTCCTTCTCTCTCTCCCTCCCCCCTCTCTCTTTCTTTCTCTCCATCCTTTCTCTTTCCCTCCAAAATCTTTCTTCCACCCCCCCTCTCTCTCTCCACAGGGGGGTGTATGCAGTGTTAAATAACACGAGTATCGATGACTTTATCTACAACCTCCAGACAGAGTGGTCAGTTTTGCCTGCGTATATACAAACACACCATTCTGACAAATAAAGCCGTTTCCTCTCTTAATACATATGCACTTCACGCCATGAAGGAAAACACAGTTGTAGGAAGCAGAAATAACACCAACACACGCACGCAACCTCTCTCTCTCTCTCTCTCTCTCTAATACATATCTATAGGAGGAGGCTGTGTTTTAGTGTGACCGAAGCAGAAGTAGAAAGAGCCAAAAAAGTCTTCAAGACTTCCCTCTTCATGCAACTAGACGGTATGTGTATGTGTACGAGAGCTGTTCTGGGTGTAGTTGACTTGTTTGCTTTGCCTTGCCTTGCCTTTCGACCTCGATACCTCGTTGTTGGAACAAGTAGTATCCACGTATCTCTCTCAAGTACTAGATGTACAGTTGCGGTATGGCATCCTTTTTCTCTTGGCATCACGTGGTCTAATAACTTCATGTGTGTGGGAACTCTGTGTAAAAACAGTGATGTACGCCTGCTGTATTTCGTACCTACTAACCTGCTTGAATATTGTAGAGAATGTCTTTGAAAAGGGATACCTTTGATTGAAAATGCCACCAACCTGTACTTACCTACCTGGTGGAAAATTGTGGAGAATTCAGTATCCTTGAAATTGGATACCTTTGCTTGAAGAAATCGCAGCTTGTGGCCCACCAGAATGTGCAATAAGCACCATGTGCATGTTCACCGAGCGGGAATGTTTGTTGCTTTGTGCATATGTAATAAGATAATTCTGTGCAAAACGGGATTTTTGTCTATTGAACGTGTTGTACATGAATGTAGATATATACATACAGTATAATATTGTAGTACAGTAGCACCATCCCTCCTGCATTCTTTCTACTCACTTTGTGTGTGTGTGTGTGTGTGTGTCAATTTGTGCAGGGTCTACTGCAGTATGCGAGGACATTGGCAGGTACGTCTATTGCTATATTGATGCAATATTATTGCTCTGATCGAGGCTAGGATACTGTAGCTAACGAATGCCTCCCTTTTGTATTATCACGGTCGGTGAATCATACCAAGTAAGAATGTGCTAGTAAGCGTTGATATTGTGGAAATTTGTGTGTTTGTATATAGGCAGATGTTGACCTATGGTAGAAGAATCCCCCTCCCCGAGATCGACTATAGAATACAGGTAAGTACATATTACGGCTGTACAGTAAAGGTATATAGAGACGTTTAATAGTGGCCGTAGTTAGTTGTACAGGGTATCATAGTTGGACTACTGAGAGTACCATGGTTGCAGCATTGTGGTGTATAACGTACTTCCTAATTAGATTACCCGGAACATCAGACTGGCTATAGTTAACACAATCTGTCGGATTCTTCCCACGAGTGAACATTCTTCTGTTTTTATTCCCACACACCCTCTCTCTCTCTCTCTCTCTCTCTCTCTCTCTCTCTCTCTCTCTCCTTCTGTTCCTCTCTCCTACCTCTTCCTTTCCTGAAAATGAAAATCCATTTTGGCCTCTCTCTCAAGCGTATGCACTTCGCTGATTACGGTGCACTGTCAATATCTGTAGATGCAGTGTAGCACAATACGATGGGTGGGAGACATTTTTGGGACATTTGCCACCTATTGTGTGGCTGTAAACATAAACATATGATAATCCACGAGGAAAAATAGGTTTTAGAAATCACAATTGCCTTAACAGGGGGTGGTTGGGAGTTTGCTTTTTCATGTTTCCCTTTGCCCCCCTTGTAAACACACACGCGCCAGCA